ATTACAACAGTTAGAGGGGAATCGGATGCACAAAATGAGAATTGCAAAGTGCGATTAGTGAACAGCGGGCATAGACTAGCAATACTCGAAAGGAGATGGCAGCGGGCAGTTCTGAGAGAAAAGGCCTGTATTTAAGGAAATTCAACCAAAAAAACATGTACTAAAATCGTTAGATCTCACAGAAAAACCACTAAAAATAATATCCTCCACTTATCTTCAAATTTAAAACCAGCGGCTTGACCTTGATATTTAGGAGTTTCCTCGTCACACCCTTCCGAGAGAGGACGTTGTGGAGCTGGGTTTTCCTTGCCGCCACCGGTATGATGAGTTTTGATGGTCGTTCTCTATGATTCCTTAAAATATATCTGTTGCGTTACCAGTTCTGGCGAGGCAGGTTCTGATGTCTTCTAAGTTCTTCATCAACGCTATCTGCTGAACAGACTTTTCTAGTCCTGTTCGCCAACCAACGGACTAGATTACGTTTCTGTTGAAGGGGTTCGAAACTGTGGAAGGTCGTACACCGCCCAGACCGAGTGTCTTTTCGACAGACGCTTCTTTAAATGCTGTCGTCAGCTATTCTGCTTAGAAGAACGTCTAGGAAAGACAGCGGACCAGCCGTTTCAGCCTCCAACGTAAACCAGATGGACGAGTGTGCTTGATTTACAACGTCCAATAGGGTTTTTCTGTTGGTTTCTTTGGTGACAATTGCAAAGATATCATTAACGTGGCGGCCGCTATGCCTTAGTTTACTGAGGTTTCTCCAGTTTGCCCATGAATAAGTCGGCTAAGGGAGGACCAAGAGGCGGTGCCATATCAACTCCCTTTATTTGTCTATATATTTAGGCGTCAAAAAGGAAATGCACATTTTGTGAATTTTAATAGTAGTTCCTTGAGTGCGTTCATTGGAATAGTTATTTCCTGGTGTTTGGTTGACCGGAATTCACATATATACTTCACTGTCTCTGTGGTTTGAACGTTTGTGAGGAGTGATGAGACATCAAGTTAAGACATCACCATGCCCTTTTGGTCTACGTTTTTAACGTCTTCAATGAATTCGACGGTGTTCAGATAACTATGTGGCGCTATCTTACACTGTACAGATTCAAGTTTCTCTTCTAAGCACTTTGCCATCGCATGATAGGGAGAGTTGCGCATGTCAAAGATCGGACGGACCGTTAGGTCGTTCTTTTGCAGCTCCAGTAGACCGTACAATCGAGAGATGTGTGTGCCTACTGTGCATAGGCTTTCGAGTTCGCGATCGCTTATGAAGCCTCAGGCATAGAGTCTGCGTGGGCAGTCGGTTAACTGTGCATCTACTTCGTCCGTACAATATTTTCCTCGGTCGGCTTCCTTGAATTCCTTCTGGTCTGACAAGATGGACTGTATTTTCGCCACACAATCATCCTAATTACGTCTGTTCCCTCATATGGTATAGTTACCAAAATATCCGTGTTCTCTCTCAGCTGCTTTAACTTCTTATAGGAACTTTTGTCAGCAGTCCCCAGACTTTTTGTGCTTTTGTTCAGATAACGATAACTGCGATTAACTAATGTTTATTTCAGGTGTTGGGCACTAACTGTAGAAATGGGCTTGAGATCGTTCGTCTGATTGACTTTATGACGAGTTTTGCGGAACATCGGACCAGTAGAGAGTGCTTCAAGTGATTTTTTATCGAGGGCTATAAAAGAATAATTATGTACATACAAATGCGGATCTTTTGGAAGCCCTGATGGTGGTTTCATTTGGTGTATCCGTTTCACGAGTGAAGATTACTTTGCGCCCCTTATCGCTTCCACGTTTTACTTAGTACGTCGTGCCCATATAAATGTACTGACCCGATGAGAATCTATCGAAAACACGCATATGCTTAAAGAAGCAAACAGGCGAGTTCCAGGTAGCAGTTCAGAAGACGATGATGCGACCGTCAGAAGACTGACCAATAGAAATCAAGGTGCTGCGAGTTCATGGGCGAGGACGGCATGAAACTGCTTTAGTGAAGGCTGGTCGAACATAAAGCGACACGCAAAGCAGCCCTAGAGGGCAAATTTCGCAAGCTGCCTGCTCCAGTGTCATCCAAGAACGACAAACTGTTGCGCAACTTGTCGTCAAATGAGCCGACGGAGGAACAAGTGCAGGTGTAACGACATGAGGCCTCATTCAACACAGCCGATGCCAAACCTGCCAACATGATTGCAGTAGTGGAATGAATCACCAACCAGATGGGAGCGACAGCCGAAACGAAGAACCTCATTCGACACCAAGTGCTATCCCTCCTCATGGCTCATAGGCCGCGCAACGTGCTTTCCAAGGTCGAGCGCGATGCACTTAAGGAACTCAGGGCAGACAACGACCTCGTTATCGTGCCTGCGGACAAGGGTCGTTCAACGGTCGTATTGGACAGGACAGACTACAATCAACAAGCCAAAAGCTTGTTGGAGGATAGTCACGCTGACACGCGAGATTAACGCGACGCTGTTGGCGATGGAGAACTCAGATGCAATATCGCCAATCGACCGACGCATGGCGAGAGCACAAGAAACGGCCCTAGCCCGACTCTACGGTCTCCCAAAAGTACACAAAGAGGGCGCTCCTCTCCAGCCTGTCGTATCGCTAAAGGGTACTCCAACCTACGGACAGGCAAAGTGGCTGTTTTGCCGTCTCAAGTTTCTGACCTCCGATTCGAACACCACAGTCAACTCTTCAACAGTGTTCTTGGAGAAACTTAGAGGAATAAGTCTCCTGCCAAGCGATGTCATGGTTTTCTTTGATGTCACGTCCATTTTTACTTCTATCCCGCAGGACCTGACAGTCGAGACCATCGATCTACTCCTACGAGAGAAATACGACGAAACGGAAAATCGCCTCGGACACGCCCAAATAATCCAGGTCCTGAAGTTATGTCACATGACGTACTTTACGTTTGACAGAACAGTCTACGAGCAGGTGAAGGCAACGCCAATGGGTTCGTCGATTTCGATAATCATAGTCGAGGCGGTCATACAACGGTTAAAGTCGCTGGTTTTCCGACACCGCAGACCGAAATTCTGGGCCAGATATATGGATGACAACTTCGTCGTCATCGAACGGGGCCAGGTGATGGAATTCAAAGAATATCTCGACGTCGTCTTCTCGGACATTCAATTTACGATGGAGGAGGAAGAAGACAACCAGCTGGCCTTCCTGGATGTCCTCATCTGCAGCAAAGATTGTGGTGGTCTAAAAACCAATGTGTTCAGGAAAGCGACAAATACGACACAAATACTGAACTTCAACAGTAACCACCCGACCAGTCACAAATGCCGTTGTTCAAGGGCGCTATACCGGCGCGTTGAGACGCACTGCGGTGAAATGGAAGGCAAGATTGCTGAATCACGATATCTTCGACGGGTACTGAGAGCCAATGGCTACCCGCGCAACTTTGTCAACCATTACATACGAAAACGATACCAGAGACCAAATCCAACCGGCCCCAAAATGCTGGCGAGCTCTTCCGTACGTAAAGAACGTCTCCGAAGCCGTCAGTCGTCTTCTCACTCCACTTGGATTTGGGGTTGCACCCAGGTGGAAGCAACAATCAGGCGCCAAGTCATGAGACCGAAAGACCCACTGCCACGGCAGGAAACGTCTGAAGTCGTTTACCGGCTCTGGTGCAGTTGCGGACAAAACAAATGCGTCGGAGAAACTTGTACATTACTCCGGACGCGAATTGCCGACCACGCAGCAGCAGTGAGGCGGGGAGATGCTAGCTTTCAGATGGCTGCTCATTCGATGGGACCCGGCCATATTTTCAAGTTTCAAGAGGCCGAAATCTTCGCAAGGGGTGACAACCGCGTGAGCCGTGAGCTGCTTCAGTCATGGTTCTCAGGCCCGCAATCCGTCAACAAGCGCAACGACCTCGCGTAACCGTATTCCGTCCTCAGATTTCCCCTGGGCAGGGGATTCAGTCACGTGGGGAGGGCGCGCGCGAGCAATTATCCCGGTGACAGTGAGCCAATTTTCCGAGCAATCGTCACACCAGCATCCAACACGGATGGCGAAATCACGACAATTAACAACTCGGACTCGGACTGACGAGCCACAGTCGCATCAATTACGACCCCAGCGGTGATAGTGAGAGCTGTTAATTACAGTACGCATATGTTCCCATGACAGCTACGTGCAATAAATACTGCACTCCTTGTGCCACCATTGCCCATATCTGCGACTGTTTCTCTTGATGAGTTGGAACGAGAATCCGAAACGTCAGGCCAATACATTTCCTGTTCCAGCGATCGCATCCTCGTTTTCTGAACGCAGATGCCCGCCAAATGCACCTCTGAATAATAACCGCATCGTTAAACGTCCTGGAGCGGTCAGTGCGAAAACGCTGACCCAAGTAGCAAAATGTAGACAGTAATGTGGGGTTTAAGCTCTGTATAAACAACCACCTACTTAATAAAATTTGAAAATTTGCTACGAAAATAAGAAACGTTTTAACGCCCGCCAGCGATCTTTCTTTTCGCATATGATTCTCATGATAATAACATCTCCAAACGTCCCAAACTTGGTAGTTTTAGATAAACATACGAACTTTGGACGAGGAAGGCAAAAACTTTTCTAAATTAAAAGCCTCGAGATAATTCAGGGAGCCAAAACGTCGGCCAGAATTTTTAGAAGGAAAGTAAACCGCTTCGCAAAGTAATATTGAGGATCAGACTAAGTTTCTCCTGAGGGTGGGAGGAAATTATAAACTCAGATTTGCAAGTGATCACGCGGATGTCCTTTTCGGGGGACCTATGGTGAGACCGGCAATACGGGTAAGGTCACGATATCCCAGTGGTCAGAACGGAATCATGACGAAGAGGGAAGGCGGCCTAGAGCGTGTGGGTTAATGTACTCCCGACTGCTCGACTGAGAGGTGAGTTGGGAAGGACATCGCGTTCGCAGGTCACAATGCATAGGCAGAAGAGATGGAAATTTTTTGGCGAGAGTTCATGGTGTGCGAAACTACATCCGGGGAGAAAAATGCGGGTGAAGCCATAAGAGAAACTGCGGGGGGTGGGTGAGAAAAGGAAAATAGTCTAGTCAGTTCAGCCAGCTTACCAAGTGGATGAGGCTTTCGCCCTTGAACTCCCTATTCGTATCCAAAAATAGCAACTAAATCAATTACCGCATCAGTACTCCTGGAAATTCAAAAGTTATCGGTATTTGTGAGCCAGACGCAAACTGCCGCCACTGTCACAACCGTGGTTATATGTACAGTAGTTTCCAAACGAGTAGACGTCTAGTCTTCATTTAAATGATTCAAAAGTTTAGAGAGGGTCAACCGCGTAAGTATGTCCGTTCCATGCTCCAATGACCCTCTACAAGAAGGCGTTCGTCGGACGTCTGTTTGGAGGAGCTTTCCCTGCAGTTTAAGGGGATAGCAGTGCTGTCCCAACCAATTCGAAGAAGTCATCATAGTCTACAGCAGACTCACGGCTTCTGACGGTATGGTAGGTTTGAATGAGCTCGCCGCGCAGTTGCTTGTAATTGAGGGGAAGAAAATCAAGCTCAGCCAGTCTAATTTCGTAACGCAGATGCCAAGAATCCTGACCATTTTCGCAGCCACCGTCTGTACTCTTTTCAGTTGTTGATAATGCTTCCTGAGCCACAGTCGCCAGGCCTGGACGGTGTACTCTACGTGAGGCCGAACGAATGCCCCCTAGGCTTTTCCGAACAACTCCTTATCGATATGCACAAAAGCCTCGTCTCAGCGCAAATAAGACCCTATCGCACTTTTGGCTGCCCTTTGACATCGTGATGATGGTCTAGGGACGAGGTCATTAGGATGTCAAAGTCTTTCAGTTCCTGAACTTTTTAAAGGGGGTGCCCAGTAAGGAGGTATTGAAAGGAATCATCCTCCTTGCTGGTCCCTCAGGAGCGGAGTATCAGGGCCACACACTTTTCCGCATTAAAATTGGGGAGTCAACGAGGAGACGAGCTGCCAAATCGGTTGGAACATTCTTGAAACGCGTGCCTATCTGCATACGATCCAATGGCTCTCCAAAGTTTAACATCGTCAGCAAACATGACGATGCTCTATCCACGGTTTGTGATCTCCCCATAAGAAAGTGTGCAGTCCATGTCAGCAACTTTTCCACTTATTCCAAATTCAGACAATTTATAGACTAGATGTTTGTGTGGGATGCTGTTGAACGCCTTCTTGGAATCCGCGTAGATGACATCGACCTTACCATCATCCTCCAGTGAGCGAGTCCACTGCTCGGTCGAGAGCAGTAAACTGGAAAGGCATGAGCGGTTCTGTCTGAAGCCGTGTTGCAGCCCTTATAGTAAATGATTCCCCTCCAGGAAATTCATTGTTGCTTTCCTAAGTGTGGCTTCCATTATTTTTCGGCAAATCCACGCGATACTGACGGGCCGGTAATTGTTATTATTAGTGCAAGTCCCACCGTTGTATATTAAATAGGTATTCGCTGTCTTCCATTCGGATGGCAGTCTCCCTACTTCGGATGACGAATGTAAGATGTATGCTAGGGGCTTACAGAGTTCGTTCGCCAATCCTTTCAGAGATTTGGCCGGTACATTGTCCGGCCTCGACGACTTTGTTCTTTGAGATTCTGTAGCTCTCTTGCCACGAAAAGCGTGGGAATAATATGGATTCAAGTACGGGACCAGTGGTCACAACCCCATTGCTGAAATTGTGGCCCTGAAACTCCGACACCCCAGCGAATCCTGACGCAATGAACCGTTCCAAACGTCCGACGCTCTCGCCATCTTCAACGATTTACACACCATTATTATCACTCAGCACTGCAATTGGATCCCTTGTTTTAGTCGACTGTTTATATTGTGAGCTAGTGTTCAGCTTTTTTTCAGCATGCTGGATAATTCTGGATTCATAGTCCTCCCTTCCCTGACGCATGCATTTTGACTGAAGGATGAAACTCTTCGGGGTGTGCTGGTGACCCAGCTTCCCTGAATATCTGCCTTCTTTTACTTTTCTATCTTTACTGTCTCTTCAGTTCTCTAATTAACTAGGCGGGGCAACGTGTCTTTTTTGCATCTCCTCTTGATAACAGCGCCGAATTACGTCGATTGAAATCGTCTTAAGCGATCTCCAGTCGCCCTCCGGATCTCACTTTCGCAAACAGTCTTAATTTACGGACATCGATTGGTCCTTCATCATGTTAAGATCTGCCTTCCATGTACCAGGTTAGTCTTACGTTCTCTCCTGGTGTTGAGAGAAGCGCAAGTTGTCCCACAGCAACGTAATGTGGTCACTCTTGACGAGAGGTGCTCTGGAACACACTTCGTTAATGTTAAGTAAGTCTTTCATAAAAAGTGGGCCCAAACGATTGGCTCTCTGGTTCTCTCTGAACCTCGTTGGTCTTTTTACATTCTGGGCCACAGGGAAGTCGAGCGTGAGGTACATTAGCTTACGACTAAAGGAAGTTAGCGCGACGTCCACTGTCAGACTTGTTCACTCTATTGCAGGTACGTTGAAACCCTCAGCAATAGAGCCTCGTTGTGACTAGCTACTTCTTTGACCAAATTTAGAACGACTCATCAGATGCGCTCGGAACATCTAAGGGTCTGTAAACCGTCAGGAATTCTGGGTTTTTGCATTACACTTCATTATCTTTACTCAGACAGATTCATATTCAAAGGGGATGGTGTGGGCTCATTCAACTGCCCAAATTCCTGTCCTTACACATACAACTACCCCGCCGCCTTGTCTGTTTTGAAGGTCTCTGTGGAATATCTGGTAACCCTGTATCGAAATCCCGGAATCCACGATTTCGGCTTTGAGCCATGTTTTCATTATGGCAATGACATCAGGGTTCCGTTGCGAAACTAGCGTTTTGAGTTTGTCGGTCTTCGAAACGGGACTTTGAGCACAAATATACAAAAACCTCAATTTTGTGGAATTGAATGCAAAATCCAAATAAGTAAAAGAATGAATATTTTATGCATGTTTTCCATGAAGTATATTTGAATTTATAAGGGCACCTAAAATCGGTAAGAAAAAGTCATGCTACTCAAGTAGTCATTTTTGCAGTGTTGTTTTTGCAGGCGGCCGAAAAGAAGTCCATTCGAAAGTCGACATCCTGAAGTAACTGAATTATTATGGGATTATGCTGCAGAGTGATTAATACTACAACCATACTTAAGTAATCTTTTCAAGTTGAAAACGCATTTCAGAACTTCAGTTAACATTTCACGAGTTAACACATCTACTGTATTACTGACACCCGATTGAAGCCACAACCGGCAGCATAACGGGCTCGTGGCTGAGTGGTAAAACGCTGCACTAATTAGCTATTAAATGCTCAAAAAGTTCGGCTCGAATATTAGGTCGTCCAGGCCTGGGGCTAAATGGGGCCCCTTGACGACGTCTAATAAATCAAAATGGTCATCCGGACCTGCCTTGTCTTTGTCGAGGTTCCTTCTCCACACATGTTACTGGTGGCCTAACGACTTCTCACGAGGACTCTGGACGAGCACGTGAGGAGGCGGATATCCCCCAACCCGATCGGTGAACACCCTTCCTCGGATAATAAATCCAAATTAGCTGGCAAAGAATCCGTTCGTTATCCCGAATGGGACTCCGGGTTCCAGTATAATTTACATTTACCAGAGACCCGTCCGTGAGTGGATGGTTTTCCACTCTCAAAATGCAGGTCAGAAAATTCTTATCAATCTGTCTGACACAATTATAAAACTGGTGATACAAAGAAAAGTGTACAGTAGAAACCGCAGGGAAAGAGTGGGATGACGTAAATCGTAATGTTCTCACGAACGAACGAGTTATATCTCACGAGCCTTAAAGGCAGCAAGGAAAACTGAGCAGTGAATAATATAGACATTCTGAATGTAAAATAACCTGACAACAGAGCGCGACAGCACCGCAGGCCAGCAAGGCGGGTTGCACAGGTTTGACGTTTCTCGCCACATTCGAACAAGCAATCCGGTCAAGGAAAATGGGACTAAATTGTCAGAGGTAAATTAGTCCGGTACCTCACCACAGGGATACACCCTGGTTCGTCGAATGTCTCGCAGCTGCGTCATGCATCCAGAGCTTACGTAGGGTGTAGGTCGTTCCGCCTGTCATGATTTTATCTGTTCACGATGACGGTGTCGGTGAATACGGCGATCGCGAATGACCGCACATCCCGCCTGCCCGCGCCCACTCAACCTGAGGCGGCAAATCTAGCTGTCACCAATGAAAACAGCATGGCTCAGCCCTAGAATTCATTCTGAGGTTTGGTGGTCAAGCCTCTAGAGTTGATGTGTAAACGTTAAAGAGCGTAGGGTCACGTGGCAAGCGGTTTCACTGTAGAGGTACACGATTGGGCCTCCGAGTCCAACTTAGGATTACAACGGACAAGGTTTGTCACCGGGCCACATACAGCGAGCGAATCGTGTGCGCTCCCTAACCCTCCCCCTTTGCAGAAGCATGACGCAACCACAACCGACACCGGGTAATGCTCGGAGCGACTACCTCTGAACCCGGATGTTGCGCAAACCTTCCGCAGCAGATTCGTCATAACTCTATCCTGCTTCGTAAACTGTGTCTGGCAATCGGGGCTGCAGAGAGGAGTGTTAGTCATGACCAAGCGGCTTTCAGTGATTTTACGTTTGCCGTCTGGTGCGGAGTTTACTCGGGCCAATCAGCGGGCTGTAACGCGCAACCCCCTTCTGCTATCAAACTCAGTCTCGTCCTTTTGGTCGGCAGCTACTCCGGTTTCCCCCAGGATATGAAAAGTACTCCCCAAAAACATGCCGGTTCGACCGAGTCTAGGGTATGAAACAAGTCACGGGGCGTGTGGGCGCGCGCACGTTCATGTTCTTGTTTTCCTTACCATTTTACAAAAAGGCGGAAATACAGAACCACAGAGAGTGTGATGGGATGGAGAGGGCGACGTGAAAAGACAACGGCAGAAAAAGTCAAAAGTTCGATTATATACATATATAAATAAACACATGTGCATGCGTTGGTGTACGCAGCGCTGGGTGGCGGAGGAGGGAAGTAGATGCGCCGGGGGGAGGGGAGTGGGAGAAGGGACTGAAAGACTCATCGATGCGGCGGTGGTGGTGGCGGGAAGTAATAGGGTCGCAGGAAGATGCCCTGGTGAGGTTGGATGAACTGCAGCATTGACTGAGTGGTCGTCTCCTTCAGATGGCCATCGAACTGATGAGCGCCGGAAAAAGCCGAAAGGCCTGGCGAGGACTGAAGACCGGCCGCTTTTTGTGCAGCTGACGCTAGAGGCGGCGGCGGCGGCGCCTGGGAGTACGTGGCGCTTGTAACCAGCGGCATCTTGCCCACGCCCGAGTACATAGCCCCGGAGGCGGAGTGGGATTGCGTGGAAGGAAGGGGGGATGCGAATAGGCTACTTGAGTGCTGGCGCAGGTTGGGCACGAAGGCGTTCTGCGGCCAAAGTGACATAGTCGTGAGGCCACGAGACTGCGTGCAGGAAGCTGCGGACTGCGCCGAAGAGGCGGCAGCGGAAGCAGTGAGCCCAAAGACAGACGCCTCTTGGACGTGGTTCAGACTACCGAGGTCATCATTAACCTGTGGCAAAGAAAATGGGAGGGAGTCGATCAGAAAACCGTGGATTGTAAAAGCCACGCAGGCGGCATCAATTTGGGCCCATACTAGTAATATGTCGTGGTTCCAGAATTTCGACCAAGATGCTTGCAACAATTACACCTGAAGGTCCCACGACTATCTGTCAGTGTGAAACTGTCCGTAAGAGGGAGAAGCCCGCCTCCTGACTTTCAGCCACAGCCAATCACTCGATCCATCGGCCTTTGCTCAACAACTACCAGACCACGCAGGATCCCATACTGCTACAGCGTCTGAAGCCCTAAGGTGGGGTGCGGTGAATGGAGCATTCGATGATGCATCTGCTAGGCCTGAGTTCAGCGAGATTGTTTCAAACTAATATTTAAACCAAACTAATATTTACACCGGCCACGTAAATCAACCTCCGAACTTATTGCCTTTGTCCAGCGTGTAAGTGGGACCCCAATTAGTAGCGGCGACGGCTCCTTACCAGCAAAAGCACAGGCTAATAAACCCACCGTTCCAGTGATCGCGCCTTCTTCTTCTTTGCAAAAAGGACTTGTGATTCGTGTGTTCGTCTCCACTTTCCTAAATGGCTTATCGTGGAGTCCACTGCGGCTTTTCGACGCAATTCAGTACCACGCCTCCCCAGGGGTTCGACAGTCGACGCAAAGAACAGCACGGGATAGTCATATGCCCGCTCCCATGTAACGCTATATCTGAGGCGACCGTCCGTCGATGGTCACAGTAACAAATGGAATAATGCCAGGTTAGTCCACACTACGGAAAGCATACAGCGGAAGCCGAGTAGAAAACAGCGCTCACGGTTTTATTAAGAACTTTGCCAATTGCCCAATTTCAATAGTCACGCACACAGAGACTAACAACTGCACTTGAAGGAATGATCAAAACGTCTGTTTCTCGAGGTCCTTTAGCGGATGAAAGTTTCTGCACAAAACGGAAAACTTTGGAGACTTGGTGCTTCCTTCCCGTGCGAAATAATATCCTTAGGTCTTTCTGCTCGTGCCCACAAGCTAGAACGGCTGTTTCGAGCATAGTCTCTTAGTATACTACTTTTGAGACGTCCTTCTGCGTGAACACGAAAGAAGGCCTAGAGGTGTTTTCAGGAAGTATGAAAAGTAGGTAAACTGCAAAATTCAAAAAGTAGAGGCAGGAATCCTACTTCGAAAAATACGGAAACAACAGAAGTTTTTTTGCAAAAAAAACAGTTCACTTCTCTTCAAGCCATAAATCTAAGGACGCAATCTGCTGTAAAATGGTGGTAGACAATGATATTTTGTTCTATTTCATAGGAAATGGCATCAATGACTAATCTCTGACGACACGATTGCCAGCCTAAAAAAGAAACTGTGCCACACCAATCAACGTTCCTCTGTTTTCTCGCAGAGTCATTCACCGATGGAATTCTTTGCCGACGTATGTTATAAATTCCCCTACCGTGTGTTCAAGAGACATCTGGATAATTACCTGTTAAAAAGGCGGTCCAAACTCCCCAAACCCCATGTGGTGAATTACTAAAATGACTATCAACATACTACTAACATAATTTCAGCAGATCCTTTTGTGTACATTAACTTTGACCCGGATGAGGATTTCCAGGGCGGGAATGCACTGAACGTGTTTTTCGCCGTTAGTTCGCATTTTTTTGCATTTGTGTTTCATCATTATTTTTTATGTATTCTGTCATCTATTCCAAATATACTGACTGATATAATGCACCACTAATGACACTTACGTAACTGTCGCTTTTTAATTTCCTCAGAAATTTTCTGTGAACTTGGAGTAGATCCGTTTATTCAAGGTCTACAGGCTCAGACCAGGAATTTAATGTATGAATATTTGGGCCGAAATTCATCAGCCTGTAAGGACTCTAAATTGAGCTTTAAGGTACAGAAAGAAGAGCCTGTTTCGTACTGTAGTCAGATAGGTGAAAAACCCTGCAACTGACAAGAAGAGGTGTATCTGTCAACCAGTCCAGGAAATATGCCAACGGTCGGTAAAAAAACTGGTTTAATTTCAACATTTAATTCACATATCGCATTCTGCAAACTCCCCTCCAAGCTGCGGCCTGCCTTCCTATGCTAAGTAGATGTGAAAGTTGAAGATTTCGAGCTCGGCAACGGCAAGATGGTAAACAAGTGGGTCGGACACAAACTTGCGTAACTACTTACTGTATGGGAAAGGGGCACTGACCTTGGCATGCAGGTGGTTAACATCGCCAACACCACTGACAGCTAAATGCATATTGTTGGTGATGATGGAGGCACCAGCGACGCGGGAGGCCTTGCGATTCCTCGCGCCGCTGCGTCGGCTGCTCACGCTTCTACTCCCGGTGGAGCTAAGGAGGGCAGCTGCCACGGCGGCTGCTTGGCCACCGTCGTCGTCGACGCCGCCGCAGGTCTCCTCATCATCACCCTGCTTGGAATGCGTGCGCCGGTGGTTGACAAGTGACCCGTAATGCTTGTAGGCGCGCTCACAGAGGTTACAAACAAATGGCCGATCCAGCTTGTGCACGGCACCGTGTCGCACTAGGTAGCCCTTTTGGGTGAAGGCGCGACCACAGTCAGGACAGATGAAGGGTCTGATGTTGGCGTGGCAGCGCATATGAGCGGCCAGTCGACACTGGAAGGCAAAACGCCGAGGGCAGGCTGAACAGGCGAAGTTGCATGGGCGACCCTTGCGATCGAAGCAGAGGTCTCCGGCCATCGCCGCGTTGGCCATGGCTCTCAGGTTGCAGGCAATGTTGTCAGCCGCGTCCGGAAAACTGCAGGCTGCCTCACTATTCACCTACAACGGGACAAAGACCGTGAAAAAAAACTGTCAGAAAAACACAACTACTGAAATCTAAATGCGTAGGCATGTTATAGTAGATTGACCTTCATCGATCAGGCCACGGAATGTGCTCGTAACGCTGTGCTCTAAGGCCCAAACTTGAACCTTCGCAGGCAGTCGCATAGCGACTAGTAGTATAGGTAGGTAAGGTGGTATCGATAAATACAGGACTAAAACTATGAATGGCCATTCAGGTCTCCTTGTCTTTGTCGGCACCACCTTATCCACGTAAGCGTGCTTTTACTGTTAAACGACAGTGATGGGATGGGGCGGGAGAGTAGAAGGCCTCCAATGGACAATGATACTGTATGGGGAAAGTTAGATATACAACAAATCGTGATGTGACGCGCGCGCGGAACAGTATTCCATTGAGTATTGGGAGGAAAGAAAAACACAGCTATTCAAGCGGGCACGGCAGACTTTTCAAGTGGGCGTGTAACCCACATCTGTTGTGACTGGAATCTTGGTGGATCCCATTCTGTCCGGCGCCAGCTGGTTTGCTGACAATAACGAACGTTATTGTATCGTCACTAGTCAAATCTACCTTAGCGAGAGATCAGAGTCCGGATAACAACTGCGCCTTCAGTTGGGTTCAACAAAATCTGCAGAGAATGAGGACACAATCCACCTGTTTGGTTCCTGAACAACTGAAAAGAGCCGTCGAATGGAAAATCCAGAGATTTATCAAATAGAGACGGCACCGACCATGAGACACGGTAGTACAGAATGACTCATCGGATGGGAATCTCGCGGACTTTCAAAGGATTCTCATACAGATTTTGGATATATAAATGAAGTCCGCCTGGTTAGTCCAAGGGTCTACTTCCGCACCATCTTGTCCGCCTGACAGAAAGCTGAATCTGGGTTGATAAAATGCAAATCAAGGGTTTCGTGGACATCTCCGGAAGCGAAACTTGAGAAGAACATTTTTGTTCCTGAGGTCGAAGATGCGGTAAGCCGCACGCTTGTAAAGAACCTCGCTTAAATGCAGGCTATCGGGCGCGACCACCCGGGAAGGGGGGTGGGAGGATTTTAACAGCGTTCAGCGAAGGCCAGCTGAGAAATGAGTATTTTATTCGCACAATTGAATCGCCAGTCACGGAGCATAGAGTGGCTGGGCGACAATAAAACAAATGGCTTGCGCACTAAGGGGTCACAGGACCTCGGTGACATGGCGACAGACGACTGTTATCCGCTATTCCGTAAAGTTTTGCCCTGACGCCATTCGGAGCAAACGGGGGTGGGTGGAACTAAGGGAAACTATCCCTCGGCGAAGCCGCCCGACACCACAAATGTTAAGTGAATCACTGCCTAACTGAGTTTGTGGACGACTAGAAGGGCGCAGTCTGGTTGGAATTTTTAAGAGCCAATGAAGATGTGAACTCAATGGCAGGGCTATGAGGCTTTCGCTTGCGACACCTACGCTGTGCTAAAAATCGCGTGATCATGCCCCCCGGGCGGCCCAGACATACACACAGGCAGCCTCGGGGACAGCCAATCACAGGTGTCCACCAACCACCAAGCGGACACTGACTGACTCTCACGCGGCGCTTATTCATGCACGCACACATCACGCTAGCGGACGGACGCGAGCGCAGGCCTTGGGGGTTTCGGTGCAAAATGCACGACCTCTACTGGTGGCTTTCCCCTAATACTCCTCCAAAACGAAGGTCGGAGCACACTCACTACATAGACATTGCGGACTTATAAACGTCCAATCCGAGCTCGAATCACAGGTTCCGCAGGCCTGGAACTTGGTATGGCTGGCTGATGACGGCTGAAAGGTCTGAAGTAGTCATCCCCGTTTCCCCTGTCCTTATCGGTACTCCTTCCTCCGAGGTCAGCATTTTTGGCATCTTCAAAAGTCAAAGCGTCGTGTTTGTCGCTTTTCTGGACACTCTGGTCTACAGGCCACCACAATCTTTGCGACAGACGAGGACGTCAAGGAATACCAGCTGGTTATTTTTTTCCTCCTTCAGAAAAGCGACGAACAGGACACAAATACTGAACTTCAACGGTAACCACCCAATCAGCCCCGAACGCTGTTGCCTAAGAACGCTATATCGGCGTGTTGACACGCACTGCAGTGAACCGGAAGACAAGGTTGCCGAATTCCAATATCTTCGACGTGTTTTTAGAGAAAATAGTTACTCACACAACTTTGTTAACCAGTGCACGCGCAAACAAGACGAGCGACAAAACCGTGCCGACTCCAAATTCTGGCGAGCGATCCCGTACATCAAGAACGTCTACGAGGCCGTTAGGCGCAAGCCCATGAGCCAGATTGCCAGACAATCATCACGTCAGCATGCAATACGGGTGATAAGATTTCAGCACGTCAAGCGTCGTGGATAGGAAGGTTGCTGATTGACGCCCGCTCTCGGTTCACGCAGTTCGTCGCGTTGTGTGTGTGTTGTGTGGAGTGGCGGACTGGTGAGCTGGGAACGGGCTGAAACCGCATCTTCCACGGCACTCTCACGCAAGTGAGAGACACGCCGTTCAACCCCCGTTGTGTGAAATCCTGGTTTTGTGTGTATGGGGGGCCAGGTCGTGCCGTGGCGCGCGCAGTCATGGTCAGTCGACCATGACAGCCACCGCGCCCATTCCCCACTCCAGTCTGCTGACCGGCTCGGACAGCGGCTGGGGTGTGGGAGTGGGAAGGGAGAGTGAGGTCGACGACTCAGCGCACTTTCTCCTCACTATAAACAATCTGACGCGCTTGAAGCTATCACGGTGCGCTAAAAGCCGTGGCTTGGAAGGTTGCCAACTGACGGGGTACCTTGGACCTCCTCCTTGACCGGAGGCGGTCTGAGAGTCAGGCTGCAATGGCTCCTTTTTAATGTGGCCTTTATGGCACTCCCATCACAGTGTGGGATCCGAGCCAGGCGTTGGCGGCACGCCCAGGTGCGGCTTCGGCCGTGCCAGCCTCCAAATCTCTCTTGTGTTGGTTGAAATCCTGGTTATTTGTTGTGTGGGCCAGGGGGTGTGGTGGAACGCCAAGGTGAGGATCCGTCCGAGCCATCCACCTGCGGCCTCTCTCGTCTCCGGTCTTCTTGACACTGTCTTGACACCGGGCTCGGGCGAGGGAGGAGGAGAGAGTGTAGGTAGATGCTACGCAAGTCTACCGGCACTATAAACCCCTGCGTAAGTCACCGTCCCTGCTCCCATTGCTGCTGCAACTGTGGGGCACACGGTGGACATCATCGAAACCGATGGTCGAACTGTCCATAGCGCACCAGCGGGCAACAATCCTTGATGAAGGGGAGGGCGGTTAATTGCAGCAGGCACGCGGTAGCATATTGACTGTATCCTATAAATACTGCAACTTCCAGTGCACGAGTCACCCTTTTCTGCTACTGTCTCTGATGATGGGTTCAAGTGAGAGTCCGAAACGCCAGACGAATAAAGCCCTTGTTCCAGCGATCGTTTCTTCTTCTTCTTCTTCTTCTTCTTCTTCTTCTTCTTCTTCTTCTTTTTCTTCTTCTGATTTTTGGCACCTTCAAAATGCAAATCAAAACTTGCGGCAGACTGACAGTGCGTGTCAAAGTTCCCTTACTCCCAGGCCATCAAACAGACTCAACTCAAACAAAAAAATCAGTCTTTCCGAAATTCACTCGGACACTGGTACTTCTTCGATGACATTGGGGTTGCAGTAATCGCTCCAACATCGGAGACAAGCAGTCGTGTAACACTACTGTTATCGTACAGGAAACCATGTCCGTGTGGGGAGTGGGGTGGGGCGCGGTAGGTTCAACCGTGAGATCGCAATGAACAGCGAATAGATGGAAATCGTAAAAGGCAGCAGAGTTCGTGGACCCAGGTACCACAATTACTACATTGAAGTTCCATCCACTGCCGCACAGGCCAACTCGTTGTTAGGTGGGGCCCCGTCAACCTGTCACTGCAGCATTACTGACCATAGGCAGTCCTCGCGTTGAGTTAATACCGCGACTGAATAAAGGCGGGACTATAGGTGGAGGCGATTAAAGAGGTAGGTTACAGAGACCCTGAAGGCACCCTCAAGACACTTCGCGTCGCGACATCTTACAAGCAATGGACAGTCCTCTTTTGATGCGATCACAGGACTTGTTCAGGCATGATAACTGCACCTCGGAGGCGACAAACCGCCGTACTGCAGTGAGAGAATACTCACTGGCATGCCATGAGTCGTTGGCTGTGAATAGTAGGTGTTCACGTGAGCCACAAGGGGCCTTTTTCTGAAGAATTTGTTTCAAAGCTATTCTATTAAAGAAAACAAGGATGTAGTGAGTAAAAACCAATGTATTCTTACACCCAAGTGATTGTATGTGATGCTAAGGGTCCCAGGTCAAGGCTGCATACGTGCGTTTTCTTCTGGAAGGCCATTAACGCAAGTGAGCAAAGTGTCTACTATATGCTCCCTGGAGATGAGAAAACAGATTTTATGAGCATTAAAATCAGGTGTCACCTACGGTCCACGGTCCTCATGTTACGTGGACATCCGCGGGCGTTGTAGTGTAGTTAGTGTACCGGACCTCAGGCCCCACGACAGCTAGTGAGTCAGATTCCACCGTCTGTTATTTTCAAAGATAGCCCTCGATGATGGCCGCTTCAATATGAGTCAGACGGATTGCTGATAACTTTTGCTACGACTGCAGACCAGACCAGGACGCGCATGGAGTAAGCTAGCCCTTAGAAATGTCCTTTAGGTGTAAATTATGCCTACTGAAATGTTCATAAGTAGGTGACTTTTAACAATAATATTAGTGAAGATACCTCCTTGGAGGACGCTAACAGGGCCGTTGTCTGCTTTGGCCTCGGTTTTCGCCGCCATTTACGTCGAATGGCATCGCTGGATCTAACAATCCCATTCCCACAATCCGACTGGGTCCTCTTGACAGTCGGATTGTCTGAAGGGGTCTTAGAAGAAAGGGTGTCCAGGCTGGTGGAGGAGAAAATGCTCGCATTGAGTCTGTCCACAGATTTTTTCCTGTTGGTTGCGCCAGGCTCGCACACCCCCTCCTCTTCATCCTCCCACTCGCTGCCAGTCATGGCAGTAACGGCGGCAGCAACCATTGCGGCGGCATCGGTGCGATGCTTCCATCGGAGATGCATTTGCAGAGAGGAGGATGAGCGGAAGGTTCGTTTGCAGAAGAGACAGGGTCGGCCAGAGGCCCCCGCACAGTGGAATCGGCGATGATTGGATAGACAGGAGGCCTATACACAGAGGGGGAGAGAGATATATGAAAGAGGGTACGATGGCAACATTTCCTTCGGCATCCTCTTGACCGTAGGAGTTGCTTACAGAGAGAAATAAGCTCAAGGAAGATCAAAAACCAGCGCACAGGCTTTATAAGTGTTGATGTAATTAAACGATCAACCACCGAATGAAATAAAGTAGAGGGGAGGCACTCTCAACTTTACTTAACATCTACGCCTCCGCGAGCGAGTGAGTGAGTTCCGTAATAACGATCGGCGAGCGCCCCTATCATTGTATATTCCCGATAGAAACCGACAGGGCAACGGGCTCGTGGCCCAGTCGTTAGAGGCGTTGGACTTCTAACTAGCAGGCTGCGAGTTCGAGCCTCGGGTGTTCCACACTCCGGGATTGGGTATGACTGGCTGACGACGGCTAATAAGCCACAAATGGCCATCCCAGTCTCCCTTGGCTTTGTTGGTAATGCCATTCTGCCTATATCATACGCCGCTGTGCGGCTGCTGGTTGGGCTCGAGAGAGAGAGAGAGAGCCCGTAAGGCACAACGGAACGAGTGAGTTCCGTAAGAACGATCGGTGAGCGTCCCCTACCATTGATGTCATAATCGTCAGTGGAGGTCTCCGGTGAACATACAAAGACACATCAAAAGGACTCTCAAAGATAGAGCAAGTACTTATCCGCGGGCCATGAAGCTGCCACTGTCTGAGCGCCTGCCACTGGCAAAATACGCCTCCTTGACCATGATGTCTACAGGATGGTATTAGCTGTAGCACAACCGGCTTAGCACGTACTTTTCGGATAATCATATTCCGGATCCGCAGCGAAGCGTACGATATGCGATGTTCAACCCTCAAAAGGAACGGAGCGTCTAGCAACGGTGGTAAGTACACGACGAAATTGCCCAACGCCCACGAGCGTACACTCGCAACTGATGCACAATCGACGGCTGGACCAACTCACTTCTGCCCAGTCATAACAGTCAATCACTCGACCGACTGGGGCCAGAGCAGTAATGAATGGACTCCGCCGGTTCGTCTTCTCATGCGGAGGCTGCGATTCCGACGTGGGGGTAAAATGTGTGACAACTCGACATATCGGCCGCGAAACATGTAGGTGCAAGCACTCTGCTCTCGGACAGTTTAACCGTTGTTGCCGACGAAGACCACAGCAAGGTGAAAGCAAGCATGACGGGTTGCGCGTGAATTAGTTTGTAGTGGTGGTAGACTTCCACAGCATCTGTCGAACTGTCTCCTCTTACTCCCCGCCTGCACCGGGTCTCATGACATAGTCAAGAAGACCGGCGGTGGGGGAGGGCGTAGGTGGATGGCACGGCCAAGCCCGCACCTAGGCGTACCATTACGTCCCTTGGTCCGCACAGCAAATGATCAGGATTCAAACCAATAGCATCATCAACAGCAGCAACAGGGAGACGAGGATGACTGGACAGCCAAGCACACGACCTGTGTACCCAGCGGGAGTGTAAGCGCATCTACCGGCAGGGAACCAGGCGACGGAGAACTGCCAGCGCATACCAGGCTGCGAGAGCCATGGTTTCTGGCACAGCAGACGCTTTCAGACCCCTAATGCTGCTCTCTACCACCACTTCGTCGTCCGTCCTGGATTTACTTCCTGACTGGCCTACCCTACCCGCCGTCCACCCACCGACAGCGATGGTCTACTGCCCAACGATAGCACCCATCGTCGACACCAGTGAGAAGGTGGAGACTCGAACGTTGACGCAGGAAATTTACTCACCTAACCTTTTCGATTTACATCCGTAGCCGCTGAGACAGTCGCTCATGCCGGAGGCCGGCTGAAACCTGGGCTACTAATGAGAACCCCTCGGCAAATTGCTCTGGAGTAGGTACGCAGTGTCCTGTGCAGTCATATCCACACTTGCGGCGCTGGCCGTCCTTGTTTTGTTGCTGTCGGCACTTGTGACGAGGAGAACCACTGTGCGAGGTCAAAAGCTCAGAGGAATAAACGAATAGTCCCGCTGCTCGGTAAGTCTCCCTACCATTTACTGGTACAACGGCGTGTCGGTAGCTTAAGCCGTTGTGTTTGATTCCAGACAGTCCACTAAAAATGAGGTCATCTGGTACCGAAAACGAGTCAGTTGGTTTACAACAGAGAAAGAAAAAGAAGAGCAAAGTTCTTCCTGCTGGCGACGAGCAAAGTAAAGCGAAGTTCCTACTGACCGACCCCAGTTGTAAGAAAAAGTCGCAATGTTTGTCTAGCTGTGGGCTGAGGCGAGGCTGGTAGAAGAGGGAAAAACGCCTACCTGACGGAAGTACTTGCCACAGACAGTGCAGTGGAAGCGCGGTTCTGTGGAGTGTGTGTATCGGTGACGCTGGAGGTTGCCCTGATCGGAGAAGGCACGCCCGCAGTCCGCACAGGCAAAAGGTCGTTCGCCCGTGTGGCGTCGGGCGTGGGCTACAAGGCGACAACGCATACCGAACTCGCGACCGCACACACCACAGCTGAGAGGGGGGGGGGGGCGAGGGCGGGAGAAAGAAACTGTCTTGTGAAAAGTAGTAAAGTAGCAAAAAGCAAGGTCATGTCGGGGGATGAGGAAGGCAAAAGTTGTGACACCTGGAGAGGAGTTCACGTATGTCCCGGAGCGTCGGAGCTGTAACTACACCTGTCGCGACTATTTCTCCTTTTTTCCGCAGCCTTTCCGCTTCCCAGCTCAGCCTAAACGGGGTGTGCGAGCTATGATCTTGGCTTAGCAACTGAGGTCAGCTGTATATGCGTAAGAGTGACACTTCCAAGACAGCGCGTTGGTACCTATTATGTCTCATCTGACTATGCCTGCTTCCAGCTGTCGTATAAGCCGATTAATTAACCTGGTACTTTAGTTATTAAGGGGACACTACTGAGAAGAATGAGTAGGGTAAAATGTGGAAAAAACACAGATCGACAAAGCCAGTTCCAGGTACGCGTCTGTCCAGCCCAATACCAGAAAATCGGTAGGTCAACTGTGATATAATACGAAAGATGGATCGGAACTGACGACAGATACTAAAGTGGAGAGGGGCAGACCGTATACAACCGAACACGGAGGACGCGATTACAGTCGGGCGCATTGACGCTCACGAGTGGGAGTGCCATTACTCTAATGGCTGCTGCTTGGCCGGACTGAGCTCTTCGCGTGTCTCAAATATAAACTCGGCCAGATGTTGTAGTTGCTGGGCAGGAAGTGGTTTCTCTCGACACCACTACTCGTCTTCAAATCTAATCCGAGCGCGCTGAACATTGCCACCGGGCACCCGAAGGTTGATCAGGCAGTAGTTTGCCAGACATCGGTTGCTTGCGGCGGCGCACGATAGACCCGGGTTAAACCGAAACAACAAAAGGACGGCTCGGATTCAGAATGGGTGGCGTGACATAGAGGACACAGTAAAAAAAGAGATGCTATTGCAGCATGACTCTCCGTCCTGAGAGAACCGAGTTATTGCCAATAGAAGCAAAGAGACGAAACCCAGGAAGCAGTCTTGAAGAAGGAGATACGATGGCTGGGACAAGAGTTTTACTAGCCTGACGTTTCGGATTCCTGCTCGAACCCATCATCAGAGACAACATCAGATAGGGGTAGTTCATGCACAAGGGGCTGCAGTATTTATAGGATGCAGTCGCCATGCTACCGCATACCTATGAATGTTCACGACTCCCCCTTCATCAGAGATCGTTGCACGTAGCGTGATGGCCGACCTTCGCGTCGTTAATTGCTGCAATTTCATCAGGTGCGTTGGATGTTGGTGTGATGATTGCTTGACCATCTGACGCGCTGACCGGGGTGTTGGGAAGAGTGTTCACCTATGCGCTCCCCGCGTGGCTAATTACTCCGCCTAGGCGAAGTCTCAGCACGGAGTATGGAAGCGGAAGATTATTGCACTTGTTAATGGACTGGGGGCCAGTAAACCATGACTCAAGCAGCTCCCGGCTCACGCGGTTGTCACCTCTAGCCAGAATTTCGGCCTCGTCGAATTTGAATGTGTGGCCGGATCTCGTCGAATGAGCCGCAACTTGAGAGCTGGCGTCATTTCTCTGCACTGCCGCAGCGTGCTCGGCCATTCGTGTTCGAAGCTGTCTTCCGGTTTCTCCGACGTAGTTGCTTTGTCCGCAACTGTACCAGATCCGATAAACGACTCTAGACGTTACTTGACGTGGTAGCGGGTCTTCTGGTTTCATTAACGGCGCAAATGTCGGTCATCAAACAGTCATCCCACCACGTGCAACTATCCCTGATGAAGGAGGAAGCCGTGAACATTCATAGGTATGCCGTAGCATGGCTACTGCATACTATGAATACTGCAGCCCGTTGTGCATGATGCACCCGTATCTGCTTTTGTCTCTGATGATGGGTTCGAGCAGGAATCCGAAACGTCAGGCTAGTAAAGCTCTTGTCCCAGCGATCATGTCTCCTTCTTCAGGACTGAATTGTCGCGTCAGTTGGCAGCCTTCCAAGTCCTGGCGTTTAGCGCAACGTGGGAGTTTGGAATCGCGTCGGGTTGTTTAGGGTGAGGAATATGCGCCGACTGCTGTGGAGACAGAGTCCTCAAAGTCGACCTCGTCCTTTCTTGCCTCTCCCAAGTACCAGTCCCATATTTAAGCCGGTTGGCCATCTGATGCGGGGATCGGGCGCAGTTAGCCGGCGCGGCTTGCATCTGAGCCTAGGCTTGCCACCACACCCCCTGTATGACAGTCGTCATGGACGCGCAGTACAATTACGCGTGTCGCAACCTGGTCCTGTCCTCGTGTTGGTCCATCGCTAGTTCCATGTGGCCCGTTGTGGGGCAAGCGTACTACAGTGCGTGACCGATCTCATGAAATGGCCGAAATTCTGAAATGCGTCTTCGATTAGGAAGGATTACTTAGGTGGGGTTGTCATATTGATCATCATGAGGAAAAATCCTATAGTATTTCAGACTTGCCAGGATGTCGGCTTTTTATGGAGCTTCTTTTTCTCCCCTTGCAGAAACCACACTCGGTAAAAACTGACGACTTAAGTGGCATGCATTTTTCCTATTGATTTTCGATGGTCATAAAAATTCAAATATATTTTATAGAGAACATGCACAAAAATATGTTTTCTTTTACTCCTTTGGTAGGAAATCACATTGTCTTAATATTTTATACCCGAAAAAAAATGTTTCCCGATTCCCGAATAATTTTGAGCCTGGTCTGCCATTGCATTAGCGTTTTGCGATTTCAGTCTACAAGGTGCACGCTTTTCGCGTAAGGAAAATCCTATATTCCTCTATGTCTTTAAAAACGTACCACATAGAGTTCCTAAAATCTCGCAATGGATCTGGAATGCGTTGTGCATTTCATTAGAGGCAGTGGTAAACGGACACGTGCGATCCTGTATGCATGGACATCGCACGGTCTTAAAAATCACCTAATTAGAAACTTTTTAAAACCTAAATAAACAGTTTCTTCGGGTATCAGCTATCAAGACAATGAAATTTTCTGCCAAAGGAGTAAACTAAAGCATACTTTTGTGTATGTTTTCTATAAAATATAACTGAATTTACAAGACCATCAAAAATCAATAGAAAAAATGCATGCTACTTAAGTATTTATTTTTTACAAAGTGCGATTTCTGCAGGAGGTCAAAAAGGAGTGCATCCAAAAACCGACATCGTAGTGAGCCCGAAATGTTATAGGCTTATGCTACATACTTATCAGTATAACAACCCCACTTAAGTAATGCTTCCTAATCGAAAACGCATTTCAGAATTTCGGCCAACAATTCATGAGATCGGTCACGCACTGTAAATATGATATTGTGATGACCTACATGCCTTTTAGTGTGCGCTATGCCCTCTCTAACAAGATGTTTCCACGCAGACACCGATCATTATGTGCTGCATTGGCAGCGCTTCTAGCACCGAGACCCGCGCAGGTTCTGTTACCTGCGTCCACTTGGTTACTGACACCTTGGAAGTGACCATCTCAAAAACTGAGACGATCTGAATGCCAGTTCCTATGGATAGCCCGTTTTTGGGATAGATCGTGGCTGGTGGATCCAAATTGCGGCCAAAGGCAAGCAGCTTTTGCCAGCCGGTTGTGCTTACCGTTCCCGGGGGTACTGATTGACATTTCTCACTTCAGGTGATTTTGAATTTCGAAGACAACTAGGCCGAAGGATGTTGCGAATGAGTTTTCCTTCGGGTAAGAACAGAGTATTTAGAACAAAAATCCAGACAACTACTTGACATTCGTTCGAATTGTTTCCAAGCTGTAAGAAACGGCATTTTTGACGTAGCCAGGCAAGCTGACGTGTAAAATTCTGCCTAGGCGTCAGTGGTTAAAGAATGTCTCCTACAAACACGTCTACCTCATCTATGGTAGGGGGCGCTCAACGATCATTCATACGGAACTCAATAGGCAGGGCAACGGGCTCGTGGCCCAGTGGGTAGAGGCCTGGACTTCTAACTAACAGGTCGCGAGTTCGAGGCTCGGGTGTTCCACACTTCGGACTTGGGTATGACTGGCTGACGACGGCTAATAAGCCAGAAATGGCCATTCCAGTCTCCCTTTTCTTTGTCGGTAATACCATTCTACGTCATCTATAGACAGGATAGGACGAAACCAACCGATTGCCGCAGCATACACAACTGGGAGACAGGGGGACAGTGGGGGACTGAAATTGCTACCTAACTAGAACACCTCACTGCCAAACTTCAAAAAAGCTGGCGAGGAGTGAGGAGGAAGGTACGCTGGACAACTGGACAGATGCACAGACGCAGGCATACATTAAAACGACGATCGTATAACAGCTGCCTAAAAGTGGCAAATAGTAGTAGATCCGCAGCCCGTTTCTTGAGCTTACACAAACTGACTTCCTCTTCCTCCTGCCAAGGTTGCCACGGTGTCACCGTCCTTCTTTGAGTCAGAGACGGGATCCCTCTGGGATTCTGCCAGACCGGAGCTGAGGACAGCGAGATTGTAGGAAGACAGGTCACCCTTGGCGCGCTGTGGGTGGTCACTGCTGTCCGTCGTGTCTGAGAGACTACGCAACGTGGAGGCGGAGGAGGAGGAGGATGAGCTCACACCAACAAGAGCAGAGGCAGAGGCCGCCCGTGTAGGAAAGACTGCGGACATGGGTGTGGAGTCCGACTGCAGAACTGACTGACAGGCGGCAGTACTGATGACTGATGCGGGGTGGAAGGATGAACCAAGGAGGGGCATCAGACTGGTGGTCTCACTGCTCTGAAACATGTTGTTAGCCTGTGTGTAAGGAAAGTGCATCAGGCGTTCGAGGTACTGGTGCGAATGCTCAGAGTAGGGCAGGGATGTTGCCGCAGCGGCGGCGGCAGCAGCAGCAGCACTAGCTGTCTGATGGAGAGTCTGGAAGAAGTTGTCCGATGAGGTAGTGGCGGTAGTGCAGAAGGCTGGCTGATTCTGTCTACAGGAGGTATCTGATTGGTGAGATTCCACGGAGCGGGCCTTAGAGGCAGCAGTTGCGGCTGTGGAAGGGTAGTGATGTTGAAGGGCGGAGTTGTGTAGAACGAAGGACTCGCGATCTAAAGAGGCGTCCCTCAGGTGGTCAGAGGTCATTCGCGAGGAATTACAAATGGCTTGCAGCCCTTGGGGTCCGCGAAAGGACGGAGTGGACGATCGAGCAACAGTGGCCATGGGGTGACGCGGACCTATATGTGAAGCGGTAAGAAGAAATAGTAAGGCGTATTAATATGTCACGATCACGGTGTGTAGCCTATCTCACAAAATATAAGCCGAAATTTTGAAATGGGCTTTCCATTAAAAAGGACTGAGTTGGGTTGTAATAGTGATTATCGTGCACTACAATTCCCATATAATTCGTTCACGCAAGGATGCCGGTTTTCGAATGAGCTTATTTTCGGCTGTCTACGAAAACGACATTTGGAAAAAGCGACTGCTACAGTAACGCGGATTTACGCCAATTATTTTGATTCCTTTAAAAATCCGAATACATTTTGTAGAAAATACGCATAAAAATTTACATTCTGGTACTGATTCGACAACAAATTACGTCTTCTTCAAAGTTTATACATAGTAAACGGGTGGCATTCGGTTTCAAAAAATTACAATTGTAGGATTTTTTGGGGTAGTGAAATGTTTACTCGTACAACATCGTATCTGTCCGTCTACTGATGCTGCCTAGGATGTATGCAATACGGCCCACATTCACTGGAAAACTTTATGAGCGTGCTTGGCAAACCCAAAGAGAAAGTGCAACCGCAGGTGACGTTAAAAATTATTCGGAAATTGAAAACCGAAAGAGTCCCTTTCTTCAAGTATAAAGTTTGGAGAAGACGTAATTTGCTAGCAAACGACAGTTCATCCGCCGTGCGCGACGACATCCACCGCCAGCCCGCAGGACGGTGTTCTGTGCGTGAATTAGTTTATGGTGAAGTAGACTTTCGCAGCATCTATAGCACATCCTCCTTCCTCGCCCACCTTGCTCTGACGGCAGGATATTCTAAAGACGACCGAATGTGGCTGGTGAAGGCAAGCAGTCCGTCTACGCGTGCCACGCACGACCTCGTTCATGCTGCACATGCCAGGTTACAATAAAGGTAGCTAGGGTCTCATATGGGAGAGAATGCTAAAAAAGGCCACCTTAAGGAGGGGCCGTTGTAGCCAGACTCTCAGTTCTGGGAGGGACTGAATTATCCCCTCAGTCGACAATCCTCCGAGCCCCGACCCTTAGAGCGCCGTGATAGATTCGAGCGTGCCAGATTTACTACAGTGAAGATGGATTCCCCAGTGTCGACCTCATACTCTCTTCCCTCTCACATGCACCGGTCAACTGTCTGAACCTGTCAATTAGTTCGTAAAGAGATTGGGTGTGATTGCTGACATGAAAGCCTACATGTAAGGCGTGCCATTACGTATGTACGGCAGCGACTATGGGCTTGCAAGGACTCCGCGCAGCCCGATAAACGCGGACCGTGAGCCATTCTGACTCTGTTTTGCTCCAGTAAATTTGCAGCGCAGCCCGTTGCGGAGGCCAACAGGGATAAGGCACAAGAATCCATTGACACCACACCCATGGTACTTTACGAGTGAGTAACTTTTGATTATGTGGGGTGGAAGACAATGCGAAGCTTAATTCTGCCCTAGAGGAGGTCATGACATGTCGCCTGTCCGATCAAAATCAACCAGGACATTGGACAAGCCTTGGGGGAATGGGCCGTCATTTATTTCGCCCCATGCATCCGTGGACATTTACCACTTTAACGTCCGAATCTAACTGTTTGGTCAAATGAAACTTTCGGATTCATGGCCCTGACGGAATGGAAGTCCCTACAATAAGTGTTTGGTTAAAAAATTACGATATCCGCAATGCTCGTCGCTGTTCGACCGTGGAGTTTGTCCGTTCTAAAACAAACGCGTGCTTGTCTTTCCCTCTCTAGCTCTCAAGTAAAACATGGTCAGGCAGGGTGTACGACCGTGGACGGCGGGTTTCTTTTACCATCTCTACCACCGAAAGGCTAAACGTTGTGGTTGCTCTAAAATCACCAAAGGAGCGCATGACTTTGGGAATGTACAGCAGAGAGCAATAAGTTAGCTGTGACATGACTGAACTTATTCAGTCCTGGAAGGAAGACATGACCTGAAAACCCCAATGCACCCAACGACGTGGTATCAAATGGAAAAATACTAGTTTCGAGAAGTCCTGGAAGGAAGACATGACCTGAAAACCCCAATGCACCCAACGACGTGGTATCAAATGGAAAAATACTAGTTTCGAGAAGTCCTGATGGCACCTGTCTGTGAAGTACGTTCGCCCGTTGTCAGAAGACTGAAAAAATTATCATGCCGAGACAGTCAAGGAAATGATGTATCGTTCCCTGTCTTTTGTTCGTAAATCCAAGCAGATACTACGTCTAATGTGTCGTAAGCACTGTGGGAACAAAATTTCTAGGTCGCAAGCAACCCGAGATGAGATCTAACAGTGGCACTAGAAATGACATGATATTTTTGAAAAATGAAAGGGATATTTGACAAATTTTCCACCATTTCCGGGGTTGTTTTATTGCAGTTTACTTCTAGAATAGTGCAGGGTGTGAGACTGGTGAGTCATCGCTTCGGGTCTCACATTAAACCATGACAATGAGTAAGGAATGTCCACCTGTCATAGTTTGCGCGGACAGCGGGCAATTGACAGTGAAAGGCAATGCATAACACTCATATACGATCTACACCATTGTGCTTGGCCAGTGGCAAACACGGCCCCACTGCCAGGGAACGTCGATAGGCAGCTCGTTTGAGACTATACGAGTTAACCGACCTGACCGAATTAACGACGGTTTGGACCGAAAACGACAGTCAATCATCCATGTAGACAGTGTTCGTAGCCTTTGTGGGCTAGAATATAAACAGTATCTGAGGAACTGTGTCATATCGAGTAAAAACGGCGGAAACTTCCAGTTCACGACCCTGATGGGGGGGGTGATCTCTCAGGCTATGCGAGAAGCTACATCAAACGCCATGTCAAACCAGAACGAGTAGCATTCATGTATTGCTCAGCTTCCAGACAACCCTCACTGTCTTGACGATGCGCAGGTTGGCGCGGGGTAGTTTCGTCTCTATGAATTATGACTAATGAAAAAGTGAGTCCCTAAAATACTTGAGAAAAATATGATGCAAAAATTGAGGGACATCAAGTGCGTTTGTTAAAGCGAAAAACGAGGTCCATTCTCAAGTTTAGAAGCATTGGTCAATCGTCTAGACTGTCGGAACGACGCTTGATAGGGTATATCCCCAATTGGTTCTCCTACCGTCCTAATATGATGGCTTGTCCGGCAATCCCACAGATGTCGCCACCCCCCCCCCCCCGAGGCAGTGAGCAAGTCTTGTGCGGCATTGGCCCCGCTCTCGACCTTCAACGTGAATACTAGGCCCCGGTTACTTCAGATGGGCTTGGTCGCAGTGACTGGTCTGGTATAAAACACGAGCGCTTGAACGCGTCGGATTCCATTACTGACCGGCTAGATTTTATTTGCAAATTTGCAGGTTTCAGAAAGACATGCTGGCTACCTCTGTCGGGCCCATCTTGTCAGTCGAAGTAGCTACTGAAGTGTGGGCGCGACGTTCCGCGTAACAGCCAACTTACGTGATTAAACGGCTAGCTCGACAGCCAAACCATCACGGCAATTACCCCTGTCTATACACCCCCATTTTCACACAAGGCCTTACAGCCATATTATGGTATCATAGCGGGGTGACAACACGCAGAATACTGATTCTATGCAGCTTCTAGAATTATATGCACCGTTTTACTTTAAACTGCGGGGACCGTAGTAATCTGATGAAATTTGCAAACCCGACTGAGTAGCAGTGCTTTGATAAGCTCATTCAATCCAAAAAACTGTTAGTGGAATAAAATAGCGAATGGAAAGAGGGAAAGACGGTGAAACAGAAGTTGGCAGGAAGTACTGTGTAAATAAATAGAGGTTGGTAAAACGCATTTTAACTGACTGTTGTCAGTTAACTGGGGCGAGTCCCATCTACTAAAATGGACACTGGTTCGACAAGTCGCAAGTTCTACTAAGTATAAAAAGCAAACTATATATGAGTGGATGAGGGCGAGTGTGATTAGGGCTAGAAGTCAACAGCACGTCGGAATAGAACGTCGGTGGGGGGTATGCACATTAAGTCTTTTGTCCGTTCGATTGCCTTACAACTGGCAATCTGTAGTGGTCTACTACCTGTGTTTTTGTGTATTTTCTAACTCTTTTTGTTCGCTGTCTTTCTGACTGTTCCCTAATAAAGGCACCATAGGTTTTTACAAAATTCTGCCTAAAAGTTGACCCAGCTTCTTAATTAGTCTGACCAAACTTCATTACAATGCTCCGCGGATTAAATGGGACCTTATGACAGTTAAGGGCCACAGACAAGGATTCGACCAAATGCTATTAGACATGACATTTGATGAATTTCTGTTTCAACATGTACGAACTGTGACTCGGATGCGTGAAGGTCAGAGAGCTAGTTGCCTGGATCTTGTGTTTACTAAAAACGAGGAAAGCGTTGATGAAATAAATGTAGGCCCGCCCCTAGGTTCTAGTGATCACATGACATTAATGTGGGAGTCGACACTCCTAGCTGTCCCCGAACGAAGCTCAAAGTCGTTAAGAAATGTCTGGCGGGGTAACTTTGAGGCAATGAAATCAGAGATTGGACACACACTATGGACCGAAGCATTACGAGGAGACGTCAACGAATGCTGGACAACCTTCGAATCAACTATGAGAGACCTGATTGAACGGTACTGTCCCCTCAAGAAAAATCCATTCGGAAACAAACCGAAATGGCTGACAACAGCGGTTAAGAAGGAAATCCGAAAAAAACGGAAGCTGTGGAAAATCTTCTTACAAACGGAGAACCCAGAAAAACTTCAGAAATTCAGACAACAACGAACCTTATGCAAAAGACTCATCCGAGAAGTGCGAGCTTCTTATGAAATGAAGCTCCTAGAAGAGGCGCAGCAAAAACCTAAAGCGTTCTATGCATATATCAGGAGCAATACGAAAAACCGGGATCATCTGGCAACCTTAAAGGACAAAAATAACCGAATTGTGAGCGATGGCTTTCAAAAAGCCGAGCTTCTTTCCGAGTTTTTCCAAAGTGTCTACACCACGGAACCACCCCTCCAGTCCTGTTCTCTTCCACTGCCCGCCAACCAACCACTTATAAGCACAGTATTTTTTACTCCGCAGTTAGTTTTAGCGGAGCTAAATAAGCTGGATCCTGCCAAGTCACCTGGACCAGATGAGATCCCGGGTGTACTCCTGCGTCAGCTAGCTGAAGAATTAGCAGAGCCACTTTCTATAATCTTCCAAAAATCGCTGGAAGCTGGCAAACTACCTGACACATGGAAGTTGGCAAACGTCGTACCTATCCACAAGGGAGGATCACGGCTATGTCCCACCAACTACCGGCCGGTTAGTTTGACATGCATTTGCTGCAAACTGATGGAAAGGCTAGTTAAAAAATCTATTACATCACTCGATACTTTCCGCTGTCACATCGCCTCAGTTCAACATGGCTTCTGCGAAAAGAGGTCCTGCCTCACAAATCTGCTTTCGTCACTCGAACATTGGTCAAAGGCCATGGATAAAGGATATCCAGTTGATGTCATTTACTTTGACTTCAGCAAGGCGTTCGATTGCATCCCACATAAGCGCCTCATTCAAAAGTTATCAGAAGTAGGGATAAGAGGCAATCTTCTGAACTGGATTCAAGATTTCCTAAACGGACGGCAACAAAAAGTCACTGCGGGCGGCTACTGCTCAGAATGGGCACCTGTTACGAGTGGAGTCCCACAGGGGTCAGTTCTTGGGCCGCTCCTATTCATTATCTATGTAAATGACCTGGTACGGGAAGTGAAATCAGACATAGCGCTCTTTGCAGACGACCTTAAACTTTGGAGAGCGATAAAAGATGAAGATGACGTCAGGATGCTACAAGAGGACGTAACGAATTTGCACGCATGGAGCGAGAAATGGTGCATGAAATTCAACGTCAAAAAATGTGCAGTAATGCACGTAGTATCAGCGAGGCGAAGAACAAATGCACCCCCACGACAGTATCTCCTGGACAATCAACCACTTAAAACCGTAGATTTGCAAAAAGATCTCGGTGTATTCATTAAAGACGATCTAAACGTCACCACGCAGTGTTCTAAAGTCGCTGCGCGGGCAATGTCCGTTATGAGCGCGATACGCAGAACGTTTATTCACTTGAATAAAGATGTCTTTGGCAAAGTATACGGGACATTTGTGCGGCCGCACCTGGAATATGCGGTACAGGCTTGGCGGCCGTGGCTTCGGAAGGATATAGCTATCCTTGAAGGTGTACAACGGCGTGCTACAAAGGCTGTTCATGGCCTCAAAAACTTCACGTACGAGCAGCGCCTGACGGCCCTGAACCTCTTTCCCCTCCACTACAGGCAGGACAGAGGTGACCTCATAGCAACGTTCCAGTTGATAAAAGGACTTAATTTGGATGTCGACTGGGAAACGTTTTTTGAAATGGCACCCAAGTCCAATCTCAGACGACATGATTACCAGCTTAAAAAGGAACTGTGCCACACAAATCAACGTTCCTCCTTTTTCTCGCAGAGAGTCATTCGCCAATGGAACTCTTTGCCGGAGTTTGTTGTTAATTCCCCTACCGTGAACGTGTTCAAGAGACAACTGGATACTCACCTTCTGAAAGGCAACCCAAACTGCCGAAGCCTGATCTAACGGATTATTGAAATGACTATAAATATACTACTAACTAGATTTCAACAGATCCTATTTTTTGCGTCAAACTTAGCCCATATTAAAAATTTTCACAGTCCGAATGCGGTGAACAAAGTTTTCCGCAATTCTTTTGCGAATATAATACCCCTTTCACCTTTATGTTACATTATTAGATTTATGAATTCTCCCTACTAAAACTGCAAGCAAAAGTTTTGCAGTTTAACTATTTTACTTTATACCTGTACCCTCTAAATGGAGTTTTCATGGCTTCTGTCGTTTACTCCAAATATACTGACTGATACTGACAAGTGAGATCAGACAGGAGCATACTGCTAATAATTATGAGATCGTAAAATTAGATCCTGACTTGTAAACACGTATTTTGTCCATAACGGGGCAACAAATTCTATGACAAGTGTCATACTATTAACACAGCATCTGGCGTCTTAAATGGAGGGTAATTATAGTGGTAAAGACCGGTACTGCCAAATACTTCCCTTCATAAGTATTATAAACTAGGAGACCAGTAAGGAACTCAGACTGTTCACACAGTTCGCACACGTCGCAATTAAAAACATCCTCGGACGCAGGATAAGGGCTATGAATTAATCAAAGAGGCAAGGAATAACAATTATACACAACAAAATAGAATGCCTGAAAATATTCCTGACTAGCTAGACGACTCAGCCACCGTCAAGCCCAGAGCTTAGCTCGTCCCAAATGAGCAAATGGTAGTGAAAGACTCAATCCGCTCGGCACTTTGATCAGGTGCGGCGTCATGAACTGACTATAATCGGTCTGGAATGTGCCACGTGAGATTCGAATATTAAATAAAAACGTCAGTGCTTTTCTGAAAAGAGCTGACAGTTTTACAGTAGGGGAAACGGACTTATCTCGAGGGCTCCTGAGGTCCCACAGGCAATCAAGATCCTTCTTAAATAGCGGACGTATGGGTGCTAAGAACATTTCCTCAGAAACCCGTCTACACTGAAATGTCTGGTACCAGACAGTCCACAGAACGAGGTGAGTATGTCAATGTAACCCCGGAACAAGTATAGATTAATACCCAGGCTACTATAATAAACCTTGGTAGTCAATAAGTATGCCAGTTTTCTCCTATTAGGGGGTCTATTCGATTGAGTATATTAGACAAACAGAGAGACAGCGAAAAACGGCTAGGTGGAGATCAAACGAAAATAGGGAGAAAATACACATTCGGATAATGTATGATTAGCCAGACAATTGTAATAAAAAGTCAAAAGGGCTTTTGAAAGGAAACTGTGAAATATAATAATAGCAAACGACACATAAGTCGCTGACATACGCAAGAATATCAACACACGGATCGCAGACTTTCTTCAGGAATTCCATTGCAAGAGGAGGAAACCCGTCTCATCTACGCGACGATGGGCATTCCCTCAACTATTTAACTTTAATTGCCCTTACGAACGAAATCCAGTGGAGAATGGCGGGCAAAACAACATCAACAGCCACTATCTGTGTTTTGTCTCATTGGCTGATGAAAATATTTTCAAGGTTAGCTGTGTAGTTTGTGTCGTGCTCTTCAGGACTTTGGTTTAAGCTTTATGGTACAATTTCTTCTGGGAACTTTCTCCACTGCATGAGAATATCCTGGAAACAGAGAAAGATGCCGTCTTTTCTGTACCCATCAGTTTGCTTTAACCAACATGGAAATGGCCTGAATATTGATAGTTCAAGACTAACATTGTATTCCGACTAACAGATCGCGAGGGGAGCGCACTGTCAGCGAACGTAGAGCCACGGGCTACGATAACGGAAGGGGTTTGTGCAACAGTGACTATCTGTGCAAACGAGCACAGTGGTGGCGCATGCCCAGTTAAAGAACGGATACATTATTTTCTTCAGTAGGCGTGTGTAAATGGAACACCAGATTACTTGCTCTTCTTTGAATGTGTCTTCTCCTTAATGGGCAGCCCCTTCAAATTTTGCGGAAATGACAGACATTGGCGTCCTACTGACATCCTCGTTGAAACCATCGTCCCGGTGTCAAAGGGCAGCCAGACGCGCCATACGGCTGTTATTTGCGCCGAGGCGATTATTTGTGCATATCGATAAGCAGCTGTCCAGAAAAACCTCTGGAGCATTCCTTCGGTCTCACTTGGGGTATGCAGTCCAGAACTGGAGACCGTGGTTCAAGAAGTATTATCAATAACTAAAAAGAGTACAGGCGGTGGCTACGTATGCGGTCAAGAATATTAGTCATTAAATTTACGAAGCCAGATTTGCTGAACTAAATCAGTTTCCTCTCAAATACAGGCATCTGCGCGACGATCACATTCAAAGCTGCAGGACTGTCAGAGACCGTCAGTGTGTCCTAGAATTTGACGACAATTTGCACTAAAATATAAGTTTTCCTTACGCGTTGGCTGCGTCTATCGCCCTCCCAATGCCAATGACAATTTTGATCGTTTACTCTCACAGGCATTTCATGCTGCGGCCGACTCAAGCTTTAAGTATAAATTGGTTGCGGGTGACTTTAATCTTCCTGAAGTCCACTGGTCTCCGCCTTCAGGCCCCAGAAGGCTCGAAGACCTTCTTGAGGATGTGGATGTTGGGATGTGGACTCAGGTTATCGATTTTCCCACCCGAGGATCAAGTTTACTTGACTTAATTTTCTGTAGAGGCTGCTTGCCATCGTCAGTGTCATCCCTAGGCCCACTCGGGGGCTCACACCATGACATAGTTGTTTCAACGTTGGAAATCGAGGCTGACGAAATGTCGTCCCAAAAGTATAGCTTTTTCCGCGATTTCCCATCAACTCGCTCAACCGAATTATTAACACACATTAATTCCTACGACTGGACTGATTTCTTCCTTAGTTCGGATGAAAATGTTTGCACTGCAAATCTGTACGAAATTTTGGGTCCGCTTATTTCTCGTTTTGTCCCCCGTAAGAAAATTATTAATGTTGGGGATGAGATTTTCCTACCCTTACCCTTTCGTCGCAGATTGCGCAGGCTTTATCGTCGTTTCCATCTTCAGAACGATGTTTCTGTTCTGTCCTTGATTTGTGATATTTTTGATCGAGCTAAGAGATTGTCTGAAGAAAAACAGCTAGCCGAAGAGATCCACTTTACCGAAAACCATTCGTTATGTGTCTCGAAACTTTTCTCCAGAAAAATACGAACTCAGAGAAAGACGCAGTATCCCATCCTTCGAGACGATCTCGGAAATCCCATAGTTGATGCCCAGTTAACCGCGGATAGCTTCAATGATTTCTTGTCCAAAACGTTTATTGAAGACTCGACCACTCCGCTTCCGACCATCCAGTCTTTGACTGGGGCAGTTCTAGAAACTATAACTTTCACTCTGTGGGATGTGACTGTTGCGATTCGGCGTTTTCGTCAATCTTATAGTCCAGGCCCTGATGGTGTCCCAGTAAGCATTTTAAAAGCCGATGCAAATACGATTCTCCCATCCCTCTTATGCAAGATATTTAATCTCGCTCTTGAAAGTGAAACTTATCCTACCTTGTGGAAGGAATCACACATTTTGCCCATTCCTAAGCACGGCAATTCTACATCATTTGATGACTTTCGGCCAATAAACACCCTCCCCGCATTTTCGAAGATCTTAGAGACATTGATCAAGGATAAGATGATGTGTCACTTAACAGTGGATAACCTACTGAGTGCTACTCAGCATGGATTCCTCAAAGCTCGATCTTGTGACACCTGTCAACTCTCTTTCTTTGTATTTATGTGTTTATGTTTATATATTGAAGGGATACAGGCAGAGCCCTTGATGGCCCTATTTATGTACAGTGCTTTCGCAGATTCATACTCAAAAATAAAATAAAATTGCAGGAATTTAAAATGTGATTGCGTCACAGTTCAATCGTAATCAAAAAGTAGTGCATTGGGTCACTGTAAATTAGTGCGGAAGATTGTATATGACAGATTTTACAAAACTGGCTGTGCATAGTCATGCTGTGCAAGCTGATTTCTGTCGAAAACTAGACGCGCAAGTTTTCTTTAAAACACTGTGTCAACTGTCACTATCTCGCTTGGAAGCGAGTTCCACGGCCTGACAACCCGCTGGCTAAATGAACATTTTCGTCGGTCTAGACGCGTGCGCTCATTCCCGACTTTGTATGCATGGCCGCGTAGTTGGTTTGTTCGGGCGAACTCAAAGAATTCCTCTGCTCTTAATGAGCAACCCTGGCCGCGAACAATCCGGAACGTCCAGAGTAGACTGCAGTTTATTTGTCTATAAGAGAGAGGGAATAGTTCAGGCAAATTCAGCCTCTCCTGATAAGACAAATGCCTCAGACCCTCGACCATCTTTGTCGCTCTGCGTTGCACCTGTTCGAGTAAGTTGATATCCTTCTTCATCCATGGTGAAGCTGCTGGCATTCCATACTCTAGATGAGGTCTTACAAAGACACCAAAGAGTCTTTCGAAAAGTTCGGGAGGAAATATTTTAAATGCACGTCTGATTCAGTGTAGAGTACTAGTTGCCTTCTGGACCATCTTTCTACAGTGTTCTGATGGCGATAGATTTGTGGTCGTCCATACACCCAGATCTCTGTGTCTTTCCACAGTTTCTGACCTCGTCCCGTCAATATAGTACTGGTGTTTGGGAGGGGCATTGCGGCCGGTGTTCAGGTGCAAGACCACACATTTGGACACGTTAAACTTCAAAGGCAACTGTTCGACCAAGCACACAGTTTGTTGATGTTCGATTGCAACTTCTCTGCGTCATCATCACACTTGACTTCACTCCATATTTTCATGTCATCCGCGAGCATGAGAGTCTCGCAATTCACTTCGTTGATGCAGTCATTAACATAAATCAGGAAGAGTACTGGGCCTAAGACAGAACCCTGTGGGACACCACTTTCCACCTTTACCCATTCCGAGGCAGAATTACTAACGACGACTCTTTGTAGTCTGGAGGACAGAAAACTCCTCATCCAATTAAACATTCTTTCTTGAATTCCTACATCCCAGATATTCTGTAAAAGAAGCCTGTATGGACACTGTCAAAGGCCTTCTTGAAGTCAAAAAATATGACATCTACTGGAAAATCCTTATCGGTAGCTCGTGTCCATTTCTCTTGCGAATAAAGAACACTCGCTAGGCAGGAGCGCCCTGGACGAAAGCCATGTTGGGCATCACACAATATTTTGTTCTGTTCCAGGTATTTCATTAAGTGTCTTTTGATAATGCGTTCCATTATTTTACACGCGATGCAAGTAAGACTGACAGGACGATAATTTCCGCAGTCAAGTCTTGAGCCCCCTTTTTCGATCGGAGTAATGAGTGCGCACTTCCACTTTTCCGGTAGCTCGCCGTCTTCAAATGACTTTTAAAATACTGCGGATAAGGGTTTGCACAGTTCATTAGCAAGTTCGCAAAGTGCTAGGACGGGAAATCTATCTGGGCCAGGCGATTTCGCAGGTTTCAGCCGAAGGTTACAGCTCGCCAATCTAGGGACAATGGTTTTGCTCTTTACACAGTATATTTCGATTTCACTAAGGCTTTTGACCGTGTTGACCATGCTCTTCTCCTCTTGAAATTGTCCTCTTTCGGAATAGGTGGCAAACTTTTGAATTTTATATCCTCTTATTTGGGCACTCGCACACAACGAGTTAAGATTTCCAATACCATCTCCAACCCCACACGTGTGAGGAGTGGAGTCATTCAGGGTAGTGTACTCGGCCCGCTTTTATTTAGCCTTTTAGTTAATGATGTACCCGATTCATTTCAGAATGGTAAGCCTTTCATGTATGCCGATGATCTTAAAGTTGCGTATCGATATAGGCCGGCAGATCATGACATCGTGCTTGAACTTCTAAAGATTGATTTACAGGCTTTCGCCCAGTGGTGCCGCACATGGCGCCTTTCTCTTTCTTGGCTTAAGTGCTCAGTCATGGTGGTTGGCGACGACCGCCAACTTCAACTAAGTATTGAAGGTCACGCCATAAATGTGCCTGGGGTTATTAAGGATCTGGCTGTATCATACTCCAAGAGTTCCAATCTCTAGGAGCACTATGCCTTGATAGTCTCCAAAGCACGCAGAACGACCGGGTTTATCCTGCGAAATTTTAAAACTAGGGACATTAGAATGCGCCTTTTCAACATGTACGTTAGACCTGGTCTGGAATACTGTTCGTTTTCATTTAGCCTCATGAGTGCTACTGAGCGGAAGAAAATAGAATCCGTTCAACACTTTTTTACCAAGAGAATTTTAACCCCGGAACACCGACATTTGTCTTACCAAGAACGTTGCCGGCTTTCGGGCCTTGATCCCTTATTGTTCCGTAGATTACAAAAGGGACTATTTTTGCTATTTAAACTCTTATATAATCACACATTTAACCCACCCGCTACTTTACGACATCTTGTCCATCCACGTCGTAACAGTCACCGTGAGGTCTTCTTATTTCTGCCTCTGGCACGTACTGTTAAATATCGTCGGTTCTTTTCTGTAAATGCAATTGCTATTTGGAATAAACTACCCATGAGTGTGAAAACTCTGCTAAATTTTCCTTTATTTAAGAGAACTATTACTCGATTTTTGCATTCAGAAAAGCTCCCACAAATTTTGGGTGCTGAATCCACTGATCAACTTTACCGTAGCGATGGCGTTTGTGGTCTCTGAACGCTGTGGCCGGTCTCATCGGGTACAATGTCTTTGGCCAACAGCGACAGCTGTCCTTCGCGCCTCTATTTTGACTATCCCCAAACTCATGAAAGGAATTGGCGTCTAATAATCTGCTAAACCGTGCCACCCCTCCCTTCTTGACGGTCGTGAGTTTGAGGTCAGCAGTTTTTTTTCTCCTGAGCCCCCCAAACTACAAAAACCACCATCAACCCTACTTTTATTCCTTTTCCACAGGAGTTTTTTACTGCCGGCCGGATTTGTGTTTCACGCTTCCCTGACAATGCCTGTTAACTGGCATTAAATGAAAATTATCAAATTATCAAATTGGCCGGGACTGACCGCCTGTGTGATCATCCCTTTTAACTGCAATGGAGGCTGGCCCATATGGACGTCCGCCGGAACGCCATCTTGCAGAGGGCCGCTGGAGCATGGAAAGTACTCCCTGACGTGGTGGTCCTGCCCGAAGTGTTTGCTTAACGTAGACGCAGCTGCCCCCACCACGGCTATCTTGGCAATCATTTCCAATGCAATTATAGCCTAGAAGATATAGTTCGTGGTTAGCTACGGAGGCTGATGCCCACGTCTTAGTTACTAAAACAATATCTGGACAATGGACGAACACCAGTGGTTGAAGCAAACGCATCCTATTAAGCAAGGATCGGGCATTTAAAACAAAAGTTTTGAAGGGAAATGTTGTTTGTTTCTGAGGGAGGTGGGCTACATCGTCCATTTCTGGGCTGCCCACGGAGCAAACGGTCCGGATGTAACCATCCGGTTCTGCAAAAAATTTTGTGGCATCGAAAAATTCTGAGATGGATAAAAAGGGGTAGGACTTGGGGAGGGAATGACGGGCAGTTAAAATGGTAACCATTGTTAGCTAACTTATTTTCAGCTGGAAATCCGCGGGCCAGATACTGCAATTGTCATCAACGTAGAATTCCCAAAACTTGGGTGTGTACTTCTCGAACAGTCGCCTCTCGAGTCTTTGCAGAACCGCATCAACAATGAACCCGGCGATTGGTGAACCCATCGGAGTGCCCTTGATTTGTTCACACGTTATCACTTCGAAGGTAAAGAATACCTTGAGGCAGGGCCCCAATGAGTTCTATGATATCCTGAGGTGTGGGCTGTCCACCGCTAATATACCCCGCCCCGCGAACGCCTTTTCATCACTATTGATGAGAATAACTTAACTTAAAAAAGCTTTGATGGGATCCCGACGGGTTTTTGATAAAAATTATATATTTATTTAAAATGGGCGGATGTTTGATACGGGAAGACAGGTGTTTGGCGCCCGCTATTTTATAGTTAAATCCACACCAGTGCAGGAAATCAACCGCAAGACCAGTTGGCCGTCCAGATCGAGGAACATTTTCAAACAAGCCATTTTGTCTATCATTTGATTCACTGACAACCAGGTGAACGAGTGAGTCGAGACGTTTGCATTCTTGAGAAGGAACACTTGAGATATTCTGTCACACAACTTTCCCAGAACTGAGAGCATAGTGCCAAACTTCAGCACAAAATTGTTGTAATTGTGAAACGCAGGAAGATCAGGCTGCCTACCAATAACAGCGAGTGACGAATGGTTATTAATGCTTTCTGACTTGGATTTAACAGGGTCCTGCCTAGGTACAGAGGTCAAAAGTCTTCGCTGACCTGTGACTTCTGCTGTTATCTTGTTTCGAAGAAAGTTACGATTAACTAAACTTGTGACAGATCTGATGACCGGATTTTAGAGAGAGATTAATGGTGTAAACCGAATCTAAACGGTTTGAGACCGTGCGAATGCACAAAGTGCGAATTGCAAAGTGCGACTAGTGGTTAATAGTCATAGTCTATTTCAAAGATAAGTGAAGCTCTGCATTTATCTGGATATTCTTAAGTAATTAATGCCTGTTTTTTTACTTGAGTCCGTTTTAAAAGGCGCCTTTCTATATAAGGTAAAATTTTTTTCCCAGTTTGTTTGACAGTCTGGCAAAATAGTCGTATTTTGTAAAAATCCATTGTAGTGAATCCTTTCCCTACTACCGCTTTCTAGTTTTCTTAGTTAAAAAACAGTAATACTTACTACTCAGTGCACGTTTCCGTTTTGATCTCTCTTCTGTAACGAAAAAACTTTTTTGTCTGTAATGCCTCGCAAAGCACGTGCTAAAAGGCGAAAGCTTGCGGCCTCCCCACCGTCTCTCTGTGCTAAAATCGTGACTGAAGACATGGCAGACGCCAGCGTATGTTCTTCGCCGTCTGCAGATCTCATTAGCTCACAAATCCCTTTAGTACATGAAGAACCTCTCGACCCTTCAGTCGTCCAAAAATACGCCTCTGCTAGTCGTAGCAGGCCATCAGCCGGCGAAATAATCGATCAGCTGATTTATGGAGACATAAACAGCACTTCTGAAAAAGTGCTTGAACAAGCTTTTAAACTTATTGCGGTAATAAGTTCGGAAACTGAGGAACGAATTAAACGCAAGCATAATTTCGTACTGCGAAACATTCCGAGCCACTTATCTGCTATGGAGGGAGCGCATGTGTTCCTACAAAGTTGTGGCTTGAGTTTTAGTGTCGCACAAGCTAAGCGACTTCGCTCGCTTAGTCGTAATGCGCCGATACTAGTTACCCTTTTCTCCATGATAGAAGTCGATTTTATCTTGTCGTGTAGGGAGATGAATAGAGACTTCTGCCGTAAATGGCGCTGCTCCGTTTCGCCAGACCTCACACCCCTGCAGCGTAGATTGAATAAACTGAAATCGGCAAAAACCAACACCAAGATAATGACACCTACTGTCAGTCTGAATATGTCCTCTACAACACCACTTGCGGCATCTGCAAGTCACGGCATAGTCAATCCCGTAGGGAGTTCGACTACTTTTAATGCTGACCTCTTTAAACACACCACCACGCCTGCTATAAACACGCCTCTATCGACTCCCTCAGCAACCCCTAGTAAGCCTAAACATGTGTCTAAGTCAAAGGCAAATCCAATTGCTGTCTCAGCCACTCGGACACCCAATAAATCCAGCACCAGTATAAAATGTTTTCCTCCACAATCGGCGAACAGTGCCTCAAATACCCCGACTCAAAACGTCGCGGGTTCGCAACTGCCCCCCAGCCCTCATAGCAATGCAGTTAGGCCGAATATGCCGATTTNGCAGTTTCGAAGATCTTAGAGACATTGATCAAGGATAAGATGATGTGTCACTTAACAGCGAACAACTTACTGAGTGTTGCTCAGCATGGATTCCTCAAAGCTCGATCTTGTGACACCTGTCAACTCTCTTTCTTTGACTATGTTCTCCAATCTAGGGACCATGGTTTTGCTCTTTACACAGTATATTTCGATTTCACTAAGGCTTTTGACCGTGTTGACCATGCTCTTCTCCTCTTGAAATTGTCCTCTTTCGGAATAGGTGGCAAACTTTTGAATTTTATATCCTCTTATTTGGGCACTCGCACACAACGAGTTAAGATTTCCAATACCATCTCCAACCCCACACGTGTGAGGAGTGGAGTCATTCAGGGTAGTGTGCTCGGTCCGCTTTTATTTAGCCTTTTAGTTAATGATGTACCCGATTTATTTCAGAATGGTAAGCCTTTCATGTATGCCGATGATCATAAAGTTGCATATCGATATAGGCCGGCAGATCATGACAGCGTGCTTGAGCTCCTAAAGAGCGATCTACAGGCTTTCGCCCAGTGGTGCCGCACATGGCGCCTTTCTCTTTCCTGGCATAAGTGCTCAGTCATGGTGGTTGGCGACGACCGTCAACCTCAACTATGTATTGAAGTTCACGCAATAAATGTGCCAGGGGTTTGAAGGGATTTGGGCGTATCATACTCCAAGAGTCTCAACCTCTCGGAGCACTGTGCCTTGATAGTCTCCAAAGCACGCAGAACGACCGGGTTTATCCTGCGAAATTTTAAAACTAGGGACATTAGAATGCGCCTTTTCAACATGTACGTTAGACCTGGTCTGGAATACTGTTCGTTTTCATTTAGCCTCATGCGTGCTACTGAGCGGAAGAAAATAGAATCCGTTCAACACTTTTTTACTAAGAGAATTTTAACCCCGGCACACGGACATTTGTCTTACCAAGAACGATGCCGGCTTACAGGCCTCGATCCTTTATGGTTCCGTAGATTACAAAGGGGACTATTTTTGCTATTTAAACTCTTATATAATCACACATTTAACCCACCCGCTACTTTACGACATCTTGTCCATCCACGTCGTAACAGTCACCGTGAGGTCTTCTTATTTCTGCCTCTGGCACGTACTGTTAAATATCGTCGGTTCTTTTCTGTAAATGCAATTGCTATTTGGAATAAACTACCCATGAGTGTGAAAACTCTGCTAAATTTTCCTTTATTTAAGAGAACTTTTACTCGATTTTTGCATTCAGAAAGGCTCCCGCAAATTTTGGGTGCTGAATCTACTGATCGACTGTACCGTACCGATGGCGTTTGTGGTCTCTGAACACTATGGCCGGTCTCACCAGCTGTTCCTCAACGCCTCTACTTTGACTATCCCCAACTTCATGAAAGGAATTTGACGTCCGATAATCTCCGATACCGTGCAACCTCCCCCCTTCTTGACGGTCGATATTCTACCACCGCCGACAGTTTTTTTTCTCCTGAGCCCTCCAAACCACAAAAACCACCATCAACTAAATTTTTATGCCTTAAGCTCAGGAGTTTTTTTCACTGCTGGTCGGATTTGTGTTTAATCGCATCCCTTGGCAATGCCTGTAAACTGGCATTAAATTAAAAATTTATTTTTTTATATTTATTTAATTTATTTAAAAAATCCAAGGGGAGATGGTAACCGATAATTCCAAAAGAATAGGGCTGTATTTAAAGAACTTTACTTAAAAACGAAGACTAAGAGTCTTTGTGTCTCTTAGAAAAATCACTTTAAATAACATCTTCTACTTATCTTTCAATTTGAAACCAGCGGTTTTATCTTGGCCTTAGGTCAGAGTTCTAAAATCGTCCATTGGTTTTGTCGCCAGTCGTTGTTCCCGCTCGATGGAGTCACTGTCTTTCTTCGCCCAAGGTATCCATGCTGGCGTCCTATATTCCAAATGAGGTCCAAAACGTGCCAAAGATCGGTGCAAAGAGTTCACTTCAGTTCAATTTATTGAGGGAAATATGCGTAAGCCTTGGTAACGCAATAACACGAAAGCACGCCTAGTCTAATGAATGTTGTTCGTTGTCTTTTGGACGGTTCTTTTGAAGTGTTCGGAGGGAAGGAAGTTTGAAAGGTGTCCAAATTCCTTTGTCTTTTTGCGTATCCACTTCTTTTAGTCTAATCCCATGTGTAGTATACTCCTGTTTTGAGAAGGTTCTCCGACCACTTTCCACTCATAAAACAACATATTTGGATATATTAAGCGTTAGAAGCCACTTCCTGGACCATGAAGTCAGATTGTAATCGTTTTCTTGAAATGTCTGCCGGCCGTTTTCCAGGTTTTTATAGCTTCTCGCAAACAGGATAAAATCGCATGTAAAATCTTCAATACAGCCATTTACATGCAGGAGAAAGATTAGAGGACCCAAGACAAAACCCTGTGAACGCCGCTTTCTACAGGCACCCATTCGGATGCTGTAATACCAACAATTACTCTTTTCAAACTTCATGAAAGGAAACTTTAATTTACCTCAAGATGATACCTTATTTCTCACACTGTCTAATCCTCGATTATCAGTCCTCAATGAGGCATGCCATCAAACGCTTCTTTGAGGTTTGGGAAGGTGACATCCAATGGACGATCCTGTCCTGTGGATTTGAAGATCTTTCCTTCCAGCAGCGTCCCCGAAGGGGCCAAGGCAACTTTTCACGAAAGACTAAGTCAACCTGCTGAGCATCCGACTTGTGCGCCCGATAGAATAGATAATAAATAAATAGTTTTTCTTTAAGACCTTCTGGGTCTATTCAAAGCAAGTAAAAATAAATTTTCATACGAATTTTAGACGAGGTAGGCAGAATCTGTACAACATGCAATTCACCGTTTCTGAATTAGTAGTCCGTTAAGAAAAATGATTAGAGAGCAGTGAAAAAGAAACTCCACACAAAAATTTAAAAAAGGGATTGGATTAACTTAACAGGAGGAAAAAACTGTCGCTCATGATAAAACAAAAATGCGGGAAGGACTGGCCCCCATGGGGCGGTGTTTAACGGACTACAATCGGACATCGTCGGGGCAAAAACAAATATCAGCCCGCCATAAGAAGAAGCGATCGCTGTAACAAGGGCTTTATTCGCCTGACGTTTCGGATTCTTACCTGAACCCATCCTCAGAGACAGAGAAAGAAAAGGGTGACTCGTGCACAGGAAGTTGCAGTGTTTATAGGATGCAGTCGCTATGCTACCGCATACCTATAGCAATTAACCGCGTTCTCCTTCATCAAGGACTGTTGTCCGCTGGTGCGCTAATTGCTTGATGGCCGGCATGCAAGTTGTTAATTGCCGAAATGTCATCACCCGTGTTGAAAGCTGGCGTGATGATTGCTCGGCCATCTGTCTCACCGGCTTGCGCGCTCCCCGAGTGGTCAATTACTTTGGCCAGCCTGTGCCTCAGCACGAAATATGGAGTGGGGATGTCGTTGCACTTGTTGATAGACTAAGGTGCCGTGAACCATGACTCAAGCAGCTCACTGCTCACGCGATTATCCCCTCTCGCGAGAATTTCGGCCCCATCGAACTTGAATGTGTGGCCGGGTCTCGTCGAATGGGTCGCGACCTGAGAGTTGGCGTCATTTCTCCGTACCGCTGCCGTGTGTTCGGAAATTCGCGTCCGGAGCAGTCTTCCGGTTTCGCCGACGTAGTTGCTTTGTCCGCAACTGCACCAGATCCGGTAAACGACTCCAGATGTTTCTTGTCGTGGCAGTGTGTCTTTTGGTCACATCACGTGACGCCTCATGATGGGCTCCGGTGTGTGTGCAACTCCAACCCCAAGTGGTGCAACAAGGCGACTAACGGCCTCGGAGACATTCTTGATGTACGAGATCGCTCGCCAGAATTTGGGGTCGGCAAGATTTTGTCGCTCGTCTCGTTTGCACATGCACCTGTTGACAAAGTTGCGCAGGCAACCCTTTTCTCTGAAAACCCGTCGAAGATATTGGGATTCGGCAACCTTTTCTTCCGGTTCATTGCAGTGCGTCTCAAAACGTCGATATAGCGTTCTTGAGCAACTGTGTTTGTGGCTGATTAGGTGGTTACTGTGAAGTCCAGTATTTGCGTCGTGTTCGTTGCTTTTCTGAACACTTTGGTCTTTAGGCCACCACAATCTTTGCGACAGACGAGGACATCAAGGAATGCCAGCTGGTTATTATCTTCCCCCTCAATCGTAAATTGTATGTCCGGGAAGACGCTGTTGATACGTTCTTTGAGCGTTAGCACCTGATCCCGTTCGATAACGACGAAGGTATCGTCCACATACCGAGCCCAGAATTTTGGTCTGTGGTGTTGGAAGACCAGCGACTCCAACCGCTGTAGGACCGCCCCGGCGATGAATCCCGAAATCGGCGAGCCCATTGGTGTTTCCTTCACTTGCTCGTAGATCGTTCCGTCACACGTGAAGTACGTCCTGAGACAGAACTTTAGGAGCTGAAGGACTTGGGCATGTCCGAGATGATTCTCCGTTTCATTGTATTTGCTTCGTAGGAGTACCTCGACGGTCTCGATTGCCAGGTCCTGAGGGATAGAAATAAAGATGGACGTAACATCAAAAGATACCTTGACCTCATATATGAGGTTTTCCATTTGGTCTATCACTAAACCTACCACCAAATGGTCTAAACCTCCCATTCAAGGCCACGCATGACCAAGATATTCTCAAAATGAATTTATTAACAAACCCAAACGCCCCTAGAAACGCCTGCAATAACGAGGATATTATAAGGATCCCCAAATTCACAAAGTCCCAACGATCAATTTTCTACTTCATAGGATATGCCACTACCTGGAATGCTCTTCAAGTTCAATCCGGAAAAGTCTAACCGAAATCGAGTTTAAAATAAAAACTAAGAAATTCGTTTCGAGTAACAACAAACATTTATTCAAAACAAGCATGTACAGCAGAATTTATTGGAGCCAATAAATTTCGTGACGGCTTTTCAACTGCAGCCCGTCTCTGCATAACATAGGTAACGAAAGAAAGCGCACAGCAGTATGAATTTGTACAGAATGGCAGTGCATAAGGCCAAGGTCAAGGTTCAAGGCAGTGAATAATCAGATAAGACGTCCACATAAGCATCATATAGGAAAGAGGGAGACGAAATGTTAACAACAAATCACAGTCAGGAGTAACTTGAGGCGTGAGATTACCAGAGCAATTGCAGATTGATCACGTGATCTAACTGCTTGCAGAGGTCTAGTTTCTCCCTCCGTATGTAAGCCGCTTCCAAATAACGCACGGTTCGAGTTGTTTGCGCTCGGACAAGCCCTCGAAAAGATGTTTTAGGGTCGACAACATGACCGCTATCTAACAGGTGTTTCGTTATAGACGAACGGGGGGTTTTGTTTTCCTGTTTGAAAAGCCAATTAGACAAATGCTCAGCGGCCCTGGTTGCCAATTGCCTTTGCGTTCGCCCAATGTACTTGTATCCGCAAGTGCATGTGAGTTCATACGCACAATTTGGGTGGCGTGCATTGGTAAGGCATCCTTTGCCCGGTAAATTGGAAGGCTTTTTGTGGAACTGATGAAGATAAGGTCTGCTGCGTTGTACGTTCTTTCTATAGTGCAACGTAAGCGTCGCTTGATTGTGTTTGAGACGTTGTCACCCCTAAAAGGAAGACATATTATAACGGGCTTCTTCGGAACGGACTGTTCCGTCAACTTTGGCCGCAAGTGGTTGCCGTACTTCTGAATGAAGCGTGCAGGATAACCACGATTAAGTAAGGCTTCTTTGATGCGGGCAGCTTCTGTATCTATGGTCTCCCTGGAGCAAATATTTATCGTTCTTTGAAAAAGAGTATGTACTAGATTTCGTTTCCATTGTACTGGCGCAAAGCTTTTAAAATGTAAGTATTGCCCTTTTCACATTTATTTTTGAACAAGATAGGACATTTTTCAGGTAAATTCCTTGATATAGAATTTGGACCAAGAGGGCTCTGATGATGCCGGACGCTTGAATAATACCGGAACATGGCACTAAAAACAATCAAATTTATGAAAAACAGCATCATTGATGAGCATAAAACAGATGGTCATATTCTTTCTTCCCTCCCTTTATCATTTCAATCAGCCAAGTCACCCGATACTAAATATGCCTTAAGGAGCTAATAATAACATCCCTTTCGATAAAACTCTGCATATAATTTTTGCGTAAGTCTATATTAAGGTCATATTAAACATATATGCAACTACATTAGATCATAGTAACAGTCGACCGCTACTCCTACAATGTCACATTCACATGAACGGTACGATACCTGATTCAATATTATTTTGACAGTTTTTATTTTGACATACCATTGAAAGTTTCTTACTCCTGATATATATTCAGTTTATTTGGTAAGGTTAATAGATAGATACATAGATAATTTTTATTAAAGACCCGTCGGGGTCCCATCAAAGCAAGTTAAAATAAAGTTGCATGCGAGTTTTGGACGAGGTGGGCTGAATCTTTACAAAATGAAATTCATAGTTTCTGAATTAGAAGTCCATTGAGAAACATGATGACTGAGGGGTGAAAAAAAAACTCCTTACAAAAAGTTAAAAATGATTGGATTAATTTTACAGGAGAAAAAAACCCCTCCATAAAAATAATAACAGAAAAAAGCGAGCAGGACTGGCCTGTAGGTGGCGGTATATAACGGAATGTTGTCGGTCATCATCAGAATAGCAACAAATGTCAGCCTTGAGGGGTACGAATGTGGGTCAGACAGGACTGGCTTGCAAATGGCATTGTATACGGGATTCACAATTGAGATCGTCTGGGCCGGATTGGTACGCCGCGTCAAAGAGGCCAGACGAGAGGAACCGAGATGC